GCACTAGTTAAATAATAATACCAAGGCATTCAAATAAATATACAAATAAACTCGTTCGCACTGTATTTTATTTGGTATATTCGTTGACCTTTTAAACAATTACTGTGGATGTATTTCACTGAATTCATTAGAGAGAATGACAGGACACTCAAATATACCTAGTTTTGATGTCTTTTGATCGCATAATTCTACAATTGATCTAGTAAACATACCACTTTATGTAAATGAGATAAAAAGTGTCGCTGAAAACCTTAAGAATATAGGTAATGAGTTTATTAATGTCTGAATTTTCGTAGTTTTCTTTATCACGACATATGAATAAATGTATTAGAAGTTCGAATCTTTGGACTGAAATAATATTCAACTGATAAGATAAGTCTAAACCATCATGCAAAAAAAGATCGAATTCATAATTTGGATGATGCTGAGCCTATAGACGCCAAATTTAGGTGAGGTTCATGCTTCAGCCAGCCTCTAGATTCCGCCGCCTATGTCATTAAATGCAGAATTGAACGGACTAAAATATGAACTAACTATATTATTAGCAATGGCTTTGTGACGTAGTCGTTTAATCAAGATAATGAAAGAACAGGAAACTTTCTAGGCTCAAAAGAAAAACACTGTATTTCGAGTTTTTCGATTCTCTATTGGGATGAGGAAGAAATGTCACTGGTGTAAATTAATAGAGCAAGTTGAGCTCTATCGATTGGTATATGACTCAACTAGAAAGATGAAATTCTGTGAAGAAAAAAAGGAGAAATTTGATATGATGTTTTACATAAAATCACTAAAATATGGTGTCATCGGTCAGTATTCAAGTCTGCCTATCTCAGCTTTCGAACATTTTGAAATAATACCAAATATATGATTCGATGCAAAATTGAATGGGCTACAAAGCAATATAAAGTTCCTTTTGGTGATTTGTTTCTCTCCTAGACATAAAGCCGGACCACTGAAAAGTAGACCAAATTTTATATACTGAAAAATCGCAGTTCTTGAGCTTTTCAATTCTAAATTAAGATCAGAGAGAAATACTATGTATATATATATATTGTAGAGCAAGTCAAGCTGTATCGATTGGTATATAGCTCAAATTGAATAGTGAAAAATTTGCGACGAAAAAATTTCAAAAAAAATATAGATCAATTTTTCGCACATTTTTGTGCTATTTTGGATGATGTCTGTGGTCGAACCGCCCTAGCAAACCAGAGGTAAGTCGTTAGACCGTAATATTTTGAATTCATCTATGGTAAATAAGGTCTGAAATTCCTTCACGGGGGTGCGACGGCAATGGGTGTCGTCACCTGTATCATCATCTTCTCTGTTATGCATCTTTCTTTCTCTTGATTGATGTTTCTCGCACTCATTGTTCTATTATAGTTGTTATGTTTTGACGCTTGATTGTTAGTATGAGTTACTTTCTTTGTTAGAGAGAGTTGTATTATTGTGAGAGTGTAAGTTGTTGTATTGTATTTGGTGTGAGTATTACAGTTGTATACTATATAACAGCATTATATTTGCTTCTCTCTCTATTATTTATCGTCAAAAGAGAACTTATTCAACTTATAAACATTATTTATCTAGCATTGAGCTTGCCAGTTATTAAAGCATCTCAGGGGAGTCAAATCCAAAATCGAGTGATCCCCATGTTTTTCAATATCGGAAAATATTTGATTTTTTCGTGGGCCGTCTCTTACATAGAAAAATAAGCATTCGTGTTCTGGGTTATTTATTTTGTTATTGCTTCTCTTGTGACAATACAACAAAACAGAATTCGATGACCATTGTCAACTTGTCTCAACTACTTTTTAGTTTTATTGATACGAATGAGAAATTCGATTCTAATCTAAATACTCTCTCTCAATTATTTGAGCCATTTATAGAGAAATCAAAGTTGTTGTTCCATTTAAGATTAGATTCTACAAGTAACATCAGCTTTCTATCGTATTAGATTTATATCGTTCATTTTGCATCAAATTTGACTCGAGCTACACCCAAGTTGGTTCAGCAAATTAAAATTGAAATCGTAGATGTTTGTTAGTGTTGTCCTCTTCTGAATACTCTTTATAATACATTCATCAATTCTTTGAGCAATCAAACGGAAATTATGTTTCGTTTCAGAATGATGTGGATTTTTCTTCAATAACCACTAAATACTTAATTTTGATCTTATTCTGTTAACTCTCACAGTCGGTTTTAGCATTCTTTTCCGAAAGTAAAGGACTTGAATACAAAATACCTCAAGTTTCAGAGAGTATGATGGTGGATATGAGTGCAGGCTTCAGTTTCATCATCACACCCACATCCACACCCTTACGATACACTAGAGTATGTCAAGTTTCTTAATCATTGTTCTTATGAATTTTATTTGAATAAAAATGTTTTCTAATATGTAATGTTGTCAAAATTTTTTCATAATCAAATATATACGTATACTACTTGTATTGAAATATTCTCAATATTTTTTTGCTCGAAAATTTATCAAAGTATGTCTTTCTGCTTTTTATTCGATAATTTAAAATTGTTCAAGAAAAACTTGACAGTCCAAAATTTAAATTATTAAACATTTCAATAATATATAATAAAATCAAATTATATTTTTAGTGATATTCTATTACTCTGTTTATGTAGAAATTATTCTTTATTAGGAATCGATATGTAAGTCTTTTGATTTAAATATTTTCTCAGTTTGTTTAACATTAGTTAGCCCTTGATTACATGATGCTTTCATAAAGATCCATATATCGACATGAGCATCACTATAAACGTAACCTCTGATTTTGAAGTAAAATCTGCAATAGAAACCTTCCTTAGTAAATGATTCTATTCATCGAATACCTAATTAGACTTCTAATAATTATAATTACGAAGAATTTTTCATCTGTGATCGTATTTTGTCGTCCAGAATAATAATAATAAAAAAGAAAAAGAAGAAAACAGAACAACAGGAAGAAAAAGCGAAAGATCAACGACACGTTAGACGGGCACAGAAGAAAAGGAAATGAATTTTATAAATTGTTCTACATTTCGTCATCATCATCATCTGCTTCTTCCAATGATGCCTAAAAATAAATAATCATAAATTTTTCTTATCAATTCCATATATTAATTACCTTAGCAAATTTTTCAGCATCTTCAAAAATATTTGCTGGTACTCTTTCATGTTTGCCATCATTAACTAAATATTTCAATTAAAATATAATTATTAATAATCATTGTTTCTTTTTTTTTTTTTTATTTGACTCTACTTACGTTGTCCTACCCAACTTAATTCTAATTCAAACATTCGATCTTTCACTTCATCATGTACTTGATAAATACTAGAAAAAATTCCAAATAATTTATATCAATTAATGAAAAAATATTTTATATTTACATTTTAGCTGCTTCTTTAACAGCATCTTCCAATTTCATGTCAGATAACTAAAAAAAAAAAAAGAAAAAGCATAAAAATTTATTTGCACAGAAAAAAAGAAAAAACTAATGATTATATTTTTCATACTTTAAGTTTTTCTAATTCAGTCTTAGCCGTTTGTTGTGCTTTACCAACTGCAATGCCATAATAACCCTAAAATATTAAAATAAATCTTTGCTCTTTTCATTAAAAGATTTTTACATAAGTAACACCGGATGGTTCAACACCATATAATTGAGGACCATCACTTTCATAAGCAGCTAAGAGAATAAAACAACCAAATGGTCGAACAAAACCATATAAAGTATAAGCATGCATATACATTGCAAGACGATCTGCCAAATACTAAATAAACGAAATCACTTTTTAATAAATAATCTTTCTATGTTTCACATACTTTAACTGGAATTGATACTCCATAATCATATTTATATTGTTTAGCTTCATCACGTGCAACAGTTAAAAGTTGTCGAGCATCAGCAAGAAGACCGGCAACAGCCTACATACACAAAACATATGAAAAAAAATAAAATCAAAAGATTGTTTCTTGACTAACCATTCCAATATGTTTATCAACATTATGAATACGTTTATTTGAACCTGATTCATAAAGACGTGATGTTACTATTTTTTCAACAGCAAATGCAACACCATCTTTGCATCGTAATGCTACAACTGTTCCACTTGCTTCAACAGCTTTATTAGCATATTCAACTTGAAAAACACGACCGTCTGGTGAAAATTGAGATGCACTTAAATCATACTAATAATGAAAAAAAAAAAAAAAAAAAAAAAAAAAAAATTTTTTAATGTAATATGAAAAAAATATCAAACATACACCAGATCCAATTGATGACATTGTTTTGTATTATTATGAATTGACAAAAGTTGTTTCTGAATCTGAAAATGAAATTCTTTTGAAAAAAGACAATGGCAGAAAAAAAAAACATAAATGCACAACTTATCATATAAATATGTCGATAGGACATAAAAAAATTTGATTCGTTCGTTTGACTTTTACCCACCATATTCCATTGTTTCTTTCCATCAAACGGATGGATTTGTCGCTTTTCTTTATTCTTTTTTTTTAAAATGCTTAATCATCAAATTTAGAATTTAGATATTAATTGAAACTAAATTATGAAGTAAGTTAAGAAAAAACAAGAATGATCATCTATTTAAACGTTTTCATCAATGGTGGATTTAGAATTTCTGTAGATGAGAGCGACCATTGTCATGAAACGTGATTTCAAGTTAAGTTATGAGTCGTATTAGCTCATTTTTGACTCTAATTCATTTAAGTTAATATTTTTACCAGATTATTAAATTTCACACGGAATAGAAATGTTACAGTCCTATACGTAAAAAGTCTTATTTTGTATATGAAATCTATTACAAATCTTCCTGTTTCGAAGAGATGAATTGAAGTTGTTTGCATAAGATGTTAGATGTGAGAACAGCAAAAGGCTAATACTTACATCCACACTTTTATTAACATATCTTATGGATTGTTGCTTCATTCTATTATTATCTAATTCAAAAAACTTTTAAAGTCTTTATTTCATTTATCTATTCTTTGTAGATAATGTTTTCATTAAAGGAAATATTTTTTCAACCTCTTAAATGTCAACCTAATATAAATACTTTACATGTACATCGAAATCTAACAACTGGAAATCAACAAATATTTCTTATTGGTCTCGATGGTCTTGGTGTAGTTGTTGAATATATTCAAGCAACAAATGAATGTAAAGCATATACAATATCTTTACAAGATTCTCAATGTAAAACATTTATATAAAACAAATTATTCAATGTTTTATTTGTTTTTTGTTTTCTATTAGCTGACTGTCGAATACTAAGTATGGAAATATTACCTATATCAAAATATAATACTTCTCCAGCAATTGTTTATGGTTTTGCTAAAACAAATGGTATTTCGGTTTGTATTTTGTTTATTTATTTTATTTTATTTGTAATTTTTTGTTTTAAATTAGAACAGTGATGATTGTGCAAGTTATTATTTTGATCGTGTTCAAGTTGTTGATAATAATATAAGTAATAGAATTTATTAATTTTATTTTATAGTATTTTTTATTTTGAAATATTTATAGAATCGTCAATACCAAGTCGTGCATTAACGTTTGCTGCAAAATTTATGAAAACAATCATGTATGAATATAAATAATTTAACTAAAGCGAATATCGAATTTTTAGTGTAAAAAATATCATAAATAATGAAAATGAAGTTATTCTTGTAGTGGCTGGAGCTGAAAAATTATCATTTTTTAGCGAGGTAAGAAAATGTTTAATTCAGATTTTTTTTTAAATAGTGAAAATAAAAAGAATAACATAAAAATCATTTCTTTGAAATTTATAAGTAAGATATTGGTTTAAAAAAAAAGATTTAGAAAGAAAAATTTTCATTCATATAGTTATGATCTTTCGATGAAGTAAGGTTGATTTAGTTTCAGATAATAATTTCAGCTTGAAAGTTGAAGATTCAGATTCTCAGCGACTCTATGCTCATAGGGTAAATATCAAGTAAAACGTTCATAATTCAACAAGCGAAGACTGGAAAATCAAACCAATACAAACTTTTTTTCTACTCATCATAAATGATTGAATGGCAATAGTCTAAAGCAAAAAGCTATTGTACACTCGGAAAGATTCTCATAAATATACGTAATGATTAGAAATGTGCGAGATCAAGTTTTTTTTTGGTCCCAGTAACTTCTTTTCTAGTGGATCCAGTTATGGCCTTGATAACATCTAATCTGAACCTGATCCAGAGAACAACAGTTTCTGAATTTATTCGTATCACCTCTAAAGCAAAATCTTTAATATATTTATCTAGCCGATAACTAGCACTTTTTAAATCATCTCTCTGGAATTATGTTCTGATTAATATAATTTATAAGATAATTCGCTTAAAACCATACAATATTTAGGTATTTTTCTATTCAAGAACTTTATTTCATTCATATAAGATTATTTCATTTGAATTATGTTAAGTTGTTTTTTTTTTTTTGTTCTTTGGAAATCTAAACATATATTTTTGTCATCTAGAAAAATGAACGATTACTACAAGATATAACAAAACTAATTGATCTTTATCTTCCAGAATTAAAATATACTTCTGGCAGGTAATAGAATTTCATTGATTTTATTTAAAGCACAAAAGAAATTCAAACTGATTTTTTTATTTTCTTTAGTGTATGTGCCATGGATCTATTGTTAATATCTGATCCAAAGACAAATCAATTAAAACAACGATTAATTGTTTGTGGTCATTCAAATGGTTTACTTGAGTTGTATATAACATATATACAAGCAGATGGAACTATAAAAACAACACAGAAAACACTTGAATATGATAGTTTTATTAGTACTGTTAAATTCTTCTATCATAATCACAAGCCACTTGAAAGTAAAGATTAAATGAAGGATTCTAATATTGAAATTAAATTTTTTTTTCTAGAAGAACACCCTCATTTACTTGTTACTAGTGCTCTTGAACCAGCAGTTATTTATCGGTAATAGATATCTGTGGGAAATTTATTTTTTTTCTTTTCAAAAAAATGCTTCTTTTTTGATAGTAGAAATGTTTCTGTAAATGGTTTGATTGATCCTATTGTACTTTCTGGAACCGATTCTCAAGATTGTATCACATCAAGTTGTATCTGTGATATTGATCTTGATGGAAAAAATGAGATTTTATTAGGTACATTTGGTAAAGCATGTTTTATTTGTCGAGTACCAATAGAGAACTATAAATTAAATACGATTGATGGTTTATCATTTATTGCTGAAACATTTCCTGTTTGTCGTGTATTATCATTAGCAGCATCAGTATATGGTGTATTAGCATTTGATTTAACGAATGATGGTCTTGATGAAATCATTATTGCAACAACAAAAGGTTTACATATTTATCAATTAGAATTAAATGAAGTTGTTAAATTAATAGAAAATCGTTTAGAAAAGAAAAATAATGAAAATGAGAGTTTATCAGGTGGTCATTAATTTTAATTTTTACTTTTTGTTGTTCTAGATAATATTTTTTTTTTCAGCAGTAAATAATGTCACTCGAAATCGAATCAGCTGAGTAAGTTTTCAAATTAAGATTTGAAAAACATAAGTATCAAAATGATGACTTCAGTATGTCGAACCTGTTCTACGGACATCAATTCAAATTTATATTTAAACCTGACACATTCGAACATCTATATTTCAATATATTAATATTAAATAAATATCGAAAACGTATATAATACAACCTTTGCATGGTACACATTCTTCGGACTTTTCAAAATTGTTCACTGTGAGGAAGTTAGGACTTGTCTAAAAGCAAAGCTTTTTTTTTACAAGGAACAGATGCGTTTGTTAGTTAGTGCTGTCATTCATACTAATAATCTCTAGTGTAACACTCAAACATTAAAATGCAATTATTTTTAGTATAAATCAATTGAACATATTGATTTAAGATGTATATTTGCGTAGGGATGCAACGATGTCATCCTAAGTTCCTCATGCATTCCCTTGCTTTAGTATGATTAGCATTCCTGATTGACAGAGCATTCTTACACAAGTGAACAGTGCTCAGTAAGCCGGTCTCATAGATAAATAGTACGCTACATTATGCCAAGTTATATCTTCATGTTGTCCGTGAAACAATATCGACTTACGATAGTTATTAATTTTTTGTTCGAATAACAGGTTTAATATTTGATATCGATATTTCTTTAGTGTTATTCGTCTTATACAACAATATCTTAAAGAAAATAATCTCTTACGTACTTTAGCTCAATTACAAGTATGAAAAAAATTTCAGTTAAAAAAAAAGTAAAATTTAATTATGATTTTGTTTAGGAAGAAAGTGGTATATCATTAAATACAGTTGATTCTATTGAAAGTTTTAGTAGTGAAATAAATAATGGTCATTGGGATACTGTTTTACAAACAATTCAATCACTTAAATTACCTGATAATAAACTCATTGATCTTTATGAACAAGTAAAAATTAAAAAAACAAAATAATAAAAATTTCGAGAACTTTTTTTTCTTCATTTAGATTGTTATTGAATTAATTGAATTACGTGAATTAGGAGCAGCACGTACATTATTACGTCAAACAGATCCAATGATAATGCTTAAACAACAACAACCAGATCGTTATGTACATTTAGAAGATTTACTTACACGATCTTATTTTGATCCAAGAGAAGTAGGATATTTGTTTGAGAAAATAATATTTATTAAGTAATTAATCTATTCATTAGGCATATGCTGAAGGACAGAATAAAGAAAAACGTCGTCAAGCTATTGCTACTGCACTTTCAGGTGAAGTTAGTGTTGTACCTGCTTCACGTTTACTTGCTCTTTTGGGTCAAGCATTGAAATGGCAACAACATCAAGGACTTTTACCACCTGGTATATTTAAATTTTAATGTTTGAAAAAATTTATTCGATTTTTCTTTTAGGTACTTCAATTGATTTATTTCGTGGCAAAGCTCAAGTACGTGAACAAGAAGAAGAAAAATATCCAAGTCAATTAAGTCGTGTGATGAAAGTTCGTTTTGCTTTGTGTTCTTTATCATATAGACATATTTTTCTCTTTCGTTATAGTTTGCTGCTAAAGCTCATGTTGAATGTGCACGTTTTTCACCTGATGGTCAATACCTTGTAACTGGTTCATTCGATGGTATAATTGAAGTATGGAATTTTACAACAGGAAAAATTCGTAAAGATCTTAAATATCAAGCTCAAGAACAATTTATGGTTATGGATGGTGCTGTTTTAGCATTATGTTTTAGTCGAGATTCAGAAATGTTAGCATCAGGTAGTCAAGATGGACAAATTAAAGTAAGTATTGTTTATTTTTTGTTTTTGAAATAAATTGAAATAAAAAAAAGAAAAACAACAATAATTAACATAGATTTGGAAAGTATTAACTGGTCAATGTTTACGAAAATTTGATAAAGCACATTTAAAAGGTGTAACAAGTTTGGCATTTTCAAAAGATAGTACACAATTATTAAGTGCATCGTTTGATCATTTTATTCGGTAAAAGATTTCTTTTGTTGAATTTATCAATATTTTAAATTTACGAATTATTTCTAGAATACATGGATTAAAATCTGGTAAAGTTATAAAAGAATTTCGTGGACATGTTTCATTTGTAAATAATGCAATATTTACAGCAGATAGTCATCATGTTTTGAGGTTTGTTGAATAATGATTTAATTTTAGATAATAATTAATCATTTTTCTTAATTATTAGTGCAAGTTCAGATGGTTCAGTTAAATTTTGGAGTATAAAAACATCTGAATGTACAGCAACATTTAAATCATTTGGAAGTACAGATATAACGGTTAATAGTGTTCATTTATTAGCAAAAAATCCTGAACAATTTGTTGTATGTAATAGAAGTAATACTGTTGTTATTATGAATATGCAAGGACAAGTATGTATGAATTATATCAATTCAATTTGTTTTTATTATTGTTTACAATAGATTGTGAGAAGTTTTACAAATGGTAAAAAAGAAAATGGTGATTTTATTTGTTGTTGTGTATCACCACGTGGTGAATGGATTTATTGTTGTGGTGAAGATATGATGCTTTATTGTTTTAGTGTACAAACTGGTAAACTTGAAAAAGTTTTATCAGTAAGTATTGAAATTATTGTTGATTGAAATAGTTTTCAATTTTTGTTTTACTTTTGTAATCTAGATTCATGAAAAAGATGTGATTGGAATTACTCATCATCCACATCAAAATTTAATCGCAACATTTTCAGAAGATGGAACATTGAAATTATGGAAATCTTAGCTTTTGTGTTTTTCTTGTTTGTATGGTGTTAATATCTTTTTTTTTTTGTATAAAAAAATTAGAATAAATAAGAGCTGAGAAGGAAATGATCATTATTCGTATGTATAAAATACAAAAAAAAATAATAAGAATTATTTCAGGACATAAACGCATGCGAAATCATTTTCAAGCAAAAACATTCTAAGATCTAGTAATAAAGTCGTTATAATAATTTGATTACAATGTGACAAACACAGTTATATTCATACATAAAAGTTAGCATTGAGATCGATTACGAGAAAGAAATCGTTTATCTATATATGAAGTACATATGCAAACCTGAATCTTGAGTTACATTGCTTTATTAAAGCATGAAAAATAACAAATTCATATAATCAATTTAATAAATATTTGATAAGATAATCAGCAATAAAATTGTCTTCAGGTATTTTTATGTGGTAGAAAAAATGGCTCACATCAATATCCATATCCTACGCCACGCCTTCAATCTCGGGTCGGTGTGACTTTTCCAATCAATCACTGCAAAATATTAGATATTCAAGAGAAATCATTAATCGTATTGAATCATAACTATCTTCATTTATTATAGCCAATGCAATAATAAATTCATCTAACACTATATCTAGTCAGATAAGAATAGTAATAAATGTCAGAAATTGCTTCATTGCATTCACACGTTGAAATATTATGATCTCGATTAGAAGTACATTATAACATAATATTGAAGAATCACTATCAAGGAGATACGAAAGATGACTAGAAAAATGAAAAAAAATCATGAAATGAGCTTCGCCAATGGCGGCAAGTATATGGTCAACTGGACAGATGAAATCACAACAGTATAAAGTAACTAGGTTTATTCCAATGATAATTACTAAGAGACACAATATTCAAAAGCTAGTTTCTACCATTTCATGCGCCAATATCACTTGTGGTTGCATTCTTCTTACTTCACAAATGAACAGTTGATGGAACAACGCAAAGATAATAAGATTCACGGAAAAATATTTCGGCTAACGAGGAAAGTCCCCCAAGTGATAAATGATTTTTTTGTAGAAACATACATGATTATATGCAGTTCATTACCCTGATTCCGAATACAAGGGTCTGAGCGACCCTTAGGCCTTTCTAGATTCCGTGTTATTACTCTGGACCCATTTCTGATCAGAATATTTCTCATCAATTTCGATCTCGATGAAGCAAGAAGTGAAGTATTCGAATAAAACAAAAGTAAAAAATCACTCAAATGACAACAGAAATAAAAAAACAAATAGAAGCGTCTGAAAAAAAATCCTAACATACTATATAAATTCAAGATATTTTCTTATTCTTTTTTCATTAATGAAAGATCACATATACCATGAACAAAAAGCGCAACCAATAGTAATAACAATAATTGCTGCTACACCATCGGAACACACAAGCATAAGACCACAGCGATCTTCTTATGCTTGTATGGTTCAGAACTATCTACTTGTCTGACTCGATAGCAACATCGATGCAAATAACAACAACTACCGCAAACATATCACTTTAAAATTAAAAGAAGTAGTCAACAAGGTTAATACATTCATGGATGTCGAAGAATGTATTAATTTTATCAGTGATCTCAAACAAGACAAAATGTTTATGATCACTTTCGATGCATTGCGACAAACCACAGTTCCCATCATACATGACATGTCTCAAGTTACTTCAATTTATGTCTTTTATGGAAAACAAGCTCGGCATGAACAGTGGGCCAAATATATGCCAAAAATAAAAGGAGTCTTTACAAATATTGCTCGTATCTGTTGAACTCTTCAATGAACAGCAAAAGAATATGACCAAAAACATGATTTCGATCAGTTTTGTCACAACCAGCAGTGCAATTACCAAACAAAATCTCGATCAATTGGGTTCATTCTTCATGTATACACAAATAATGAAAGAAATTTTATTAACCATTGATTTTCACCAAAAACACATCAATGACTTCACCAGTTATTGTCGTGAATTAGTCGTCACGAATCCCAAAGAACTGGAAAATGTGAAGAAACTCAAACAAGAATACTGTAACCATCTTTCGATTTGGTAGTATACAAATCAATGTCTTCTTTATTCAATGCTGAATCGATCATTACGAATGATGGAGATCTATCTTATCATCACACTCTAAAAAATGCCATGTGTCTTACAAGACAGTCCAAGTGTCTATTTTACATTAATTTTGCTTGAGCGTCTAAAATCGGTCATCCGTTGACACGTGACGTGTCTTCTTGAGACAGATAATGCGTCTTTTTGTTAGACATATAGTGTGTCTTCGTAAGACGCGCCACGTGTCAACGGATGACCGATTTTAGACGCTCAAGCAAAATTAATGCAAAATAGACACACGACCTGTCTTATCTAAGTGTCTTAATTTTTTAGAGTGCAGCATGAGATTTTTTATTCGCGATCGCCATAATCACAGCACTAAGCTTCATGCTCAACAGTTTACTGAACAAACAAGTTCAAGTCTATTCACTGTTTATTGTGATCAAAGACTGTCCAGGGCCGACTTTGATCAATTGAATAAAAGTCAAGGTGGACTTTTATCATTTAATAATTTTTTATCGACTAGTATGCATGGTCAAGTATTCCTCAACTTTGTTCGTGAAATTATGGAATCGTCCAATCTTGTTAGTATTTTATTCGTCATGCAAATTGATCTATCGATTGAGTCAACATCATTAGCCTATGTCCATAATGTCAGTTATTTCGAAGGAGAAGAAGAAATTCTCTTCTCCATGCATTCCACTTTTCGTATTGGACCAATGCAATAAATTGATGGAAATAATCGTCTTTGACAAGTTAATTTAACATTGACCAGTGATAATGACCCAGAATTACAAGCACTCAGTGGATAGATACGCAAAGAGACCTATCCTCAGCTTGAAGGATGGGATGGTTTTGATATGTTACTAATTAAACTTGGGCAATACGACAAAGCTCAAGAAGTATATGATATCTTACTTGCACAAGCAACGTTTCCTACTACAAGCAGTCCATTGAAATTGACGAAAAGACTCTCTCACCAACCAGTTCCGATTTCGCTGCATCTTACACCAGTATTGTTACAGTATATAACAAGATAGGTGACTATTCAAATGAACGTGCACTGAGTACTTTACAACGTTCAGTACTTGAAAATCATCCTAGTTTTCTCGAATATATAGAAACGAAATTGTAGCTGCTATCAAAGTAATTATAGATTCAGTTAAATTTGACATAGCGTGTATGTGTTTATATCAATTTTGAATGATACTTACAATATTTTGCTTACCATTGTACAAATTTCAAGTATTATATATATATATATATATATATGTTGAAAATAATTCATTCTAGAATATCATCTGTCATGAAAAAAAGAGATGTTTATCTGTTTTTAGTTCGCTTTCCCTTAGAGCAGCTTTTTCTTATGGTGGTTACTTTCAATTTTTTCAATAGAGACATCTTTTAATATTGACGATGGTCCTTCAAATACATTAGATCAAGTAAGTGAATCACTGCTTGTATGACGTAAAAGTTCTTCATGCTTCGTTGTCGAACATTCTTCTTTGATATGATCTGGTCTTCCATTTTTATGCATTGTACAATGCCTATAAACATACACATACGCATCAGGGTGTTTTTTTTTCTAAATAATATAACATAGCAATCTAACCAAATATCTTTTGCATATTCTTCAATCGTTCGATCTGATGAAAATTTAGCAGCTGCTGCAATATTATGAATACACTTTGAATACCATATTTGAGGATTAAGAAAATCTCGTGATACTTCACATTGTTTATCAATATAAGCTTGATAATCAGCTAACACCATCCAATGATCTCCACCAATTAATAATGTACCAATAATATCATGAAAACGTGATCGATCATCAGGTGAAAAATATCCATCACGTATTTGATCAATAGCAAGACGTAATTCTTCATTTTTCAAATTTTCATATGGATCATAACCTTGTTGTCGTCGTTGTTGTACTTCTTCAACAGTCAATCCGAATGTATACATATTTTCCGCTCCACATTCTTCACGCATTTCAATATTTGCTCCATCTAATGTTCCTATAGTTAATGCACCATTGAGCATAACTTAAAAATACAAAATTAATTTGTTTTCTTTTAGAAAAAAAAAGGATTTTTCAATATACATTTCATATTGCCTGTGCCACTCGCTTCTGTTCCTGCTAATGATATTTGTTCTGAAAGATCAGCAGCTGGAATAATATATTCAGCTGCTGTTACTCGATAATTTTTTACAAATAATAATTTTAATCGATTGCCAATATGTGTATCATTATTGATTACTAATGCAACATCATTAATCAACTTGATAATTTTTTTAGCAATTGCATAACCTATAAAAGAAAAAGAAAAAAAAACGTGATCATGCAAAACAACAATAAATATCATGGATTTTAACCAGGTGCAGCTTTGCCACCAATAATAATAGTTCGTGGTACAAATGGATCTTGTTTATTTTCTCCTCGATCTTTTTTAAGTCGATTGTAAAGTGTGATAGCTAGGAAAAAAAATTATGTTCAGAATAAAAAAAATTATCTTAAAATCAAATTCACCATGAAGTAAACAAAGTAGTGCTCTTTTATATTCATGAATTCGTTTGATTTGTACATCAAATATTGATTCAATATTAACTTCAATATTATATTCATCTTCAAGCATATGAGCTAATCGTAATTTATTTTTAATCTAATGTAATCAAAGAAAAAACAATTTTTTTTTCTTAACTTGAAATAACAATATTTTGATTACTTTAATTTGTTGAACACGTGAAAGAATATTTTTATTTAAAGCATACTGACGAAAAAGATGAAGTGATTGATAATCATTGCGAACAAATTGTTCACCTATACATTCAACAATTAATGAAAATAGATCAGGATTACAAAGAGCAAGCCATCGACGAAACGTAACACCATTTGTTTTATTTTGAAATTTTTCTGGTGTTAATTCATAAAAATCTTTAAACATAGATTCACGTAAAAGTTTCGAATGAAGTTGTGCAACACCATTGATAGTATGTGAGCCAATTATTGATAAATAAGCCATATTTATTAATTGTATTGGTCCTTCTTCAATAATAGACATTCGTCGAATACGATCTTCATCAAATGAAAAATGATCTCGTACATTTTTTAAATGTCGTTCATTTATTTCATAGATTATTTGTAAATGACGTGGAAGAAGTTCTAAATAAGTCACAAAATATTGTTTTATAATAAATGTCGTGAAAATTGATTGTTTCCATCGATTAATTCGTTTCTGAAAAAATTCTTTTAAAATAGTCTAACTATTTTCTAAACGCAGCAAACAAGTATTAGAAATAGGCTACTATTCTTTTTATAATATTGAATTTTGCTTTGTTTTTGTCGATCTATATCGTATATGGAACTGGATTCGTCGATAGCCAGTTTGATCCGGTTCAACATTTACCAGTGACTGACTTTTTGTCGATTTTGAAGTACTAAAGCTGTCCTATTGGGTTTTTTTTCATGATTTCCATGGTTATAATGATCAAGAGATATGAGCCTGAAAATCTTCAACTGACAAATTTCTAGTCGTTGTCGAAATCCCAGGTCAAAATATTGCGTGAACACTTTCTCATCGTACGATGGGAGTCTTGAATTATGTTGAAATGATCTTATTATGCTCACGAAAAGTTAGTCAGATATTAGAAGTTAATTTCAGTTTAGACTAAAGATTTTTCATATCGAAATTTCGATCTCACTTTTCAGGATTACTTATAACCGACTCTTATGAAATCCCAATAGCTAGTAGTTGGTAACACGATATTTGAGTATCGATAGATTTGAAATATTTTTTTCTGAGAAATATATCAAGATTAGCAATCAAATGTTGTATTAGTTCGTTCATTTCCTTATATAGAGTGTAGATGTGATTCTTCTCTTTACAGACGCCAATACTCACACTCCCACATTCTATCATATATATTATTCATTGTCAACGAACTTTCAATCATTTGAACTGGCCATCGCTCGATTGCTTCAGGCATTAATGTGTGATTTGTATATGCAAAACAATTGACTGTTATATACCATGCATCATCCCATGATAAATGTTCACTATCAAGAAGAAGACGCATCATTTCAGGTATAGCTAATGATGGATGAGTATCATTTAATTGAATAGATACCTAACAAAAAATTTTTAATATTAAAAATAAAAAATTAATTATTTTTCGCTTTATACCATGTCGGGCATACATTTAAAATCAATAGACACAGATGACACTGGGTTTTGATTTGACTTAGCTCCTGGTAATTGTAAAATATTACTTTTTTTTTCTTTATTTGATGATATTTGCCAACGTTTTTCACCTTTAAATCGACGTAAAATATCATGTAAACTAGCTGCAATTAAGAAATATTCTTGTTTTAAACGTAATTCACGTCCTTCAGCAATATTATCATTAGGATACAATACACAAGTAATACCTATTTTTAACAATAAAATCTATTACGACATGAGTAAAAGGCAAAAATAAAAGTTTTTACGTTCAGCTTTATTACGTTCCATTACTGCATGTATATATTCACCTTCATTGAATGATTTAAAATTAAAATCACAATCAGCTTTAGCAGAAAATAGACGCATCGTATTGACAATCTGTAATAGATGGAGATGGCTCTTTGTTAATAAAAAATAAAATATAGCAATCATCATATTCTCACGTTGTTTTTATAACCAGGTACAGGATAATCATAAGCTAGAAAAATCAACTTTTTTTCAAAATGACTATGATAAAAAAGATTTTTCAATTATCTACCTTGAGCAATTACTGTTTCATAGTCAGTCCATTGAAAACTATTAATGGATTTATTCCAAATAACTTTTCCATAAAAATGAATACGAATTTCATTTTTAACTCGTCGAATCTATGTAAATTCACTTTTATTAATTCATACTCATGATAACAATTAGTTACTTCCCAAGGCATGGGTTGTCGAAGCCAATCATCTGGTACTTCTACTTGCCAACTAAATAAAAAGAAATTTTTAGTCTTTCAAAAAAAAAAAATGAAAAAGTCAGATTAAAATTATCAATGAACTTCGATTTACCCGTCTACAATTTGTTGTTTAAAAATTCCAAATTGATATCTTAGTCCATATCCATAGGATGGAATACCCAATGTAGCCATTGAATCAAGAAAACAAGCTGCTAAACGACCAAGACCACCATTGCCTAATGCAGCATCATCTTCGAGTTCTTCAATATCGTTTAATTTAATATTAAGTGCTTCCGCTGCTTGTGTCATTTGTTCATTAATATCAAGATTAATCAATGTATTTCTCATATAACGTCCAATATAAAACTCTAAACTTAAAAGAAATAATCTGTTGAATACGACATATTGGAAACAAACCTACCTAAGATAATATACTCGTTTACCACCTATCATTTGATAAAATTGTTGTGTACGAATCCAATTTTTAGCAAGAATATCTAAAAACTAGAATGATCTTATGTTTTTCACTATTCAATTAACCTCTTAAAGCTTGTGATAATGCTAAATAATATTCTTGATAACTTGAATGAAATCGATCGACCATCAATGTTAAATGTAAATGTCGATTGAAGTTTTCGACAAGACTATACTTTTGGTTCATTATCCATTGAGCTTATATTATTATGCAAAAGAACTTACTTAAGAATTGTTTCAATATTTTTAATTTGATGTAAGGAGACTCGTAAATTTTGTGCCTCAGTTTGACGATGAAGTTCTTCTTCTTCATCGGTTGGTATATAGCGAACTGATACAAAAGAGCTACGTGAACGCCGTTTATGGCCTCCACTGACACTCATTTATAGCAAAAAAAATGAAAATAAGAAACGTAATATTTCGCGCACTTGTCAATTATCATCAATTTTAGTTCTACGAATTTTTTCAGCAGTGAAATAAATAATTGTGATGGTTCAATTTAAGAAAAAAAAAGATGAAAGTAGGAACACTCGTAATACTTACGAAAAGAAAATGAAACTTATAATAAACTAACAAAAAACTCTCTGACTATTTGAATGAAATCTTTATGGTTTATTTTCGATACTAACGGTTTTTAATTTAGATGGAGTATACAAGTCATAATCAGTAGTATATGAATAGGCAACCGTAGAGAAACTAATATAAATATTGATGTCAACTACAATGCAAACTTTGAACAAGCTCAATGGTATACTCTCGGTAAAAAACTCCAGTCGTTTTGAATTATTGAGCATTGGGCATAGGCAAAATATTTCACGTGAATGTTCTCGACGACTTTTCAACGTAAAATGTATATCAATTGTATAATTGAAATGATTTTCAACTGCTCATACAAGACTTAAGAGAGGACTCTTAGCACCATCATCAAACCTAGTTGCTAAAAACTTTAGTTGTTGAGATGAGTTAACTGGTTTGAAAGACCACAAAAAACATAAGCCAGATACTCTCTAGTTTGCGCAACTTTTAAGAAAAGTCTTCTTAAACTTCAAAGCCCACTTGTGTTGACTCAAAATATTAATAAATAAAAAATCATGATTTTACATATTTTTTTGTTATTGGCATCTTCACCTGTTTTACTAACTTTACATTCACTTGATTTATATTGACAGCACAACTTCAACCAATTTTTATAAAATTCATCTTTAATCCGACGGCGATGAAGCATTTGAACTTGTTCCATTTTTTGGTTATTGCCAAAGGATTTATCGTTGTTTTTAGTGTTGAACAATCAATGATAAGTGCTACACAATGAATTTCGTCCAATTTATCCAACATCATGTTGATAAAAAAGTATAGAAACTACTTTTTTCCAAGCGCAATTACAGTAGAATATTGAGTCTCAAAGATGATGGTCTAAATAATGAGATCGTTTATTGTTTCTCGTCATCCACGCATCAGATTGAGTCAGGCCATTGGTAAAAGTTGCGTGTATGCTAGTATGCGTCACAATAAGTCTTCATCGAAAAAGATCGATCATTACGATATTCGACCACATTCTTATCGAATCCTCTACAGACTTTGTGCAATGCTTCAATTAGAACATAGTCATCGAGAGATAAAAGGAATAGCTCTTGTTGCATTATTAACTTCACAATGATCATCACACAGAATTTCTACTTATTCTTCACATGACTCAAGAGAAAGAAAGTGAATTCCGTTTCGACGATAAATACTTATTGTTGTTATGGTCATGTATTTAATGTCGAGTTCAAACCAATGGACTCAGAGATCGGAAAAATGAATGTTCATAGATACGGTTCACTAAGCATGAAATGTTTTGAGTCATCATCGTAATTGTGATGACAATCGCATATGTTTATCGAACAATGCAATGTTACATTAATTCAACCATAGTGGGCTTGTCGATTGTTTTCTTCTCGGTTTTCTTTCTTTTTATGTTCGCTCACTGACGATTGATGTTGTCAAGACAAGCAACAATTGTAGTTCGATAAATATTCGTAGTCAATGATTCTAATAGTTCTGTTGAGAATCCGTAAGCAACTCTAGCTTTGCCGATTTCGTATCATTTTATACTACGACCTTTACATTTAAGTTTCTGTGTACGATTCTCTGCAGTAATGTCAAACTTGACAGTGAATTCAATCATTGGAATTCTTGTGAAAGAGTGCCTTTGTCACTGGGTTTTGAAGAGATGCGTAAAGTTGATCAAATGGTGTTCAAATTTCGTTGAAAAAGAATCTCTCTGTTGTCGTTAGTGATACAAAAAAATCTCAGGAGCCTCAATGCTAGCGACAAGAATATGAAGGACCAGTGATACATCACTTGTTTATTTACTGAATATTCACAGTATACCTTTACTAATATAGTTGTGGTGTGAATTGGATAAAGGAACCATTTGTAGTAACTAGCTCGATCATAAACGAATCCCTTTTAATCTCAACATAAAAGCAGCACAGATTTGAATAAAGGAACATCGATAATTGTTTAATATGTATCGTGAATTCCATCTATGAGTTTTGAAAAGAATCAATTAACACGCACAATTGTTTGTCGTTTTACTGACGGGAAAAAAGTTATGATTGATGGATTTTTGGCAGCAGAAAAATAGTAAGCATAATTTCCTTTCAATTACTGGTCCAGCTTGCAAAGAATACTGACAGTCAGGCTGAGTTGATAAAGATATCAGTAAACACGTCTTCTGTCAATACTGCGATCAGCCAACATGAGCGTTCATGTTAACACCCAGAAATGTCAACACACATATAATTAAGATCACAAGACACATATCAAATGAATAGCTTCTTAAGTGACATACTACCCAAAGATAGTAAGTGCCATTATTTAGAATTTGAACGTCGGTGGATTCGATTCAAACTATTGTCAGGTTCAGAGTTAAATGTGAGTTGGTGTAAGACGAATGTCTCGAGAACAACAATAAATAGCGATCTGTGGTTTTCACCATTCGAAAGAAGCCGAGTTAAAAAGTGTTTTCAAAAAAATATGATGCAAGGCGAAATGATTATCTAACCAATCTGTTGTTTTGGAAATCTTTTCGAAAAATGTGTAACAATACGCTGTATACGTGTTATAATAATAGGAAATCGCATTGATTGTTAATCAAGTTTTTTACATTTTATCAAAGTGGCTTCTTGTTTCGATGAAAATTTGACAAAACTATAGGCCTGCAGTCTCTCATATCTAATATGCATGTCAGGATTAAAACTTGATTAGAAATACAGCGCATTAGTATACATGTTTCGGAAAGATTACCAAAACAACAGATTGGTTAGATAATCATTTCATCTTGCATCATATCTTATAAAAACATGTTCTAACTCAGCCTCTTTTGAAATGGTGAAAACCACAGATCGCTATCTATTGTTGTTCTCGAGATATTCGTCTTACACCAACTCACATTAAATTCTGGCATTGATAATTGTTTACAGAATGAAAATAGTTTATCTTAATTAAACCTTGATAAGCACTTCCCTCAACCAATACCAATGATACATCTTTCGTGCTAATTCGATCGGGTGACGGACATTTCGCACTAAGTCATTCCGAACTCCTGTCATGTGTCTGGATGTTCGGAAATGATTTTTGTCCTGGACAACTTTCATTACGAACACCCTGTTTTTTTAATTTTTGATTGATTTTGTCATTTCGAACTCCTGTACATCTAATTCCGAACACCCTGTCTTAGTTTTCTTATGTCCGGAGATCGTAACGAACATCTGCTACCGGTGATCGTAATGAAAAGATGGTGCGAAATGTTCCATTCCCATTCGATCATGTTGAATACTTTCTTTTGAAGCGATCTATGCATGCATTATTTAATGCAACGCGATTTTAGTTCAGTTAGTCGATAATCCAAAAATTTGAAATCATTTTCACAGTTCTCAAGCATATAAAATTCAAATCATGTTAAAAATACAAATAATTGCAATCGAATCGGCTTTATCATCCCATCGACCGCAAACTTGAAGATCGCCCTGCACCCGTATTTTTTTTTTCAATACACCATTCTTGTATTCATCTGGATGCGGCACCATGTATTCGTCACCGTTTCGAATTTTAATCACATTAGCTTTGGGTATTATCATATGAATTAGTACTTGTTCATTTTCATCTACAAGACGTTGAAAAGGCTCGATCAAAATGCAGCTGTGTTCTGTAAAAGTTGCATATGTGATTGGAAACATGAATGCGTCAGCTATATTTGACACACGCAAACGCATATTGATTGCATCTGTATACATAGTTTCATTATTCGTTTTTGCAAAGATAGCCACTTCGTAAAAGCCATCGAGAGGTGGAGCAATGTAGCAATTGTAAACATCGGGTTTCTTTTCATCTCGTTGACATAATGTATGCAAACTACGTGGATATGCAACATCTCCAACTTTTAACTCAGCAAATAGATCAACATGTGCCGGTGTTCGAATTGCAATTTTAAATAGATTTTGATTTGTCTCATTTAAACCTTGCTTTGGGGATAGCAATTTCAAACCGTGTTGATAGTAGGTTGATTTCATTACGGGCAAACTAAGAAATTCTTCTTTACTGATTTCTGGCTCGAGCAATTGATATCCGTTGACATAGTGTGTATAGATGAATTCTTCAGGTGATGTAAGAAAGTAGAAATCTTCAAGTTTCTTTTCATAATCTCTGCCTCCTGCGCCCCATGTCGGATCAACTAGATAAGTGTACTGATCGAGCACAATGCTATTCCAAGCGTGAGACGACTGTTTGAGTTCTTCACCCGGTTTAAGAAAACCTTGTTTAGCATAACCTGATATTTCAGAACATTCAATACCTAATAGTGAGCAGCATTCATGATAGAGACTAGCAAAGCCTCGACAAACACCTTGCTTTGCACGAAAAACAGTCTCAGCAGCATTGTTATTACAATATGGTTGATATTGGATATTTTGACCTATCCAACAGAAGAGTAACCATGCACATTCTAAATCGTTTGTCCCGTATTTTTTGATCTCGACAGCAAGATCAGCCATTGATCCTATCGATGACCATTGTTGAACGATATCACGTAATCGTTTATTAGCAACGACAGCATCTCGTTGTTGTCGAAAAGCAGCATCAATACGTGTTCTCCTAAGATCAGCAGCAATTTTAACTTCACGACTGGTAGTGATAATGATAGGTTTTCGTTGATGTGTCACTCTGGTAGTAGTAGAAGAAGAAGGAGGAAGAGGAGCCGTCTCTGTTAAACTCTGTTGTTGATTGAAAGCATCCAACACTGTTTGTCTGATGACATCTCGTAATAATGTGGATTGTTGTTGTGCAACTGTGTCAATTAGCACTTGTTTTAGTTCGGCAAACAATTTGTTCAGGTCATTCGAATCATCTTTTTTCTTAGTGACATGCTTCTGTATTGTTTGTACAAGAGTATCTTGCAATCGATCAATTGTACCAACGTTAAGTGTTGCTGATTGATAAATATCATTATGGTTCAAAAGACTCTTTCGTAGTTCTTGTTCAGCTGTTGTAATTAGAGTTGTTTCAAGTCGTTCGAAGTTCGATAGTAACTGTTCTTTTGAATTTGATGTACCACTTATTGTTGGTCTCATGGAATTAACCAAAGAAAAACCACTGCTACGGTCTGCTTCGAAAGCTCCTACGGATGAAGATGTTCGTTCTCCAAGCAGACGAGTCTTCACATGTGGATCATCGACTACGGTGGTGCTTTTTATGGACTTTTTATCTTCCTTTTCCGATGGATGACTAACTGGTCGCCGTTGATCATCAATGGCAGATGCTCTGCCAGGGGGACTTGCTTGTGATAGCGGTAGAACTGTTGTAGTTCTAGCTGGACTGGGATCACGACGTTGTACAGATTGTTCTACTGCTTGACACAAAGCATCGATTTTATTAAACACACCCTTTACTTTTGTATATGCTTGTGCCCATTGTTCATGATGAGCTTTATTGTGACATAAAATAAAGATGGACTCTATTTGAGAGGCATCATGAATAGCTGGTACTGTATTTTGACCTAACCTACTAGAGGCGATCAAAACGATTTTTCTATCACTGTTTTCGTAGAGAAAATTGACAAATAGGTCACTTTCGCTGAAATTGTCGACGGAACCGAAGATATTCTGTAGATAATTAAATGGTTGGGGAAACTTGTTCTTGAGTTCATCGATTTCATCGACCAACCAGATCAGATGAAAGTTTTTGGCAGTAGAGCCTGTGCCGCTGGTATCCACATGTGGCACACTCAGAGAAGACGCAGCACCTATGAAAAAATAAGCAAATTCATTGGTTGTTGTTTTTACTTGTAGAGTTACTACCTGTTGATAATTTTTTCCTGTCCATATCAAAAGAAATCTAAAGAATTATAAAATCGATCATATAGATTTCTTTTTATCGCAAAAGCTTAAGAGCTGAACTATCCAAATATCGTAATGACAATATTTTTTTCGAAAGTATTGCATGATTTAGTGCACAGAAATTTTCAGATTTTAGATGTACGCGTAGAACTAAGTGAGCTCTAGCGAATACATCTAATCTGAATATAGTTTGATTTGGTTTTTGCATCCGTTTTCTGGAAATACTAACTTGTGAAATTTCCTTAATATTCGAAAATTGAGATATTTCTCGTGAGACGATGCATTCGCGCGGCAGATTTTCACATCGACACAAAACGACGAAAATGAATTTTTTTCTGTTCCATTTATGTGAAGTTACTTATTCTCTCTAACTCTGGTTCACTGTTCTATTCCCATATTATTGGATCAATTAAACTCATCAACATGAATAAAAGAAAGATGTGAGTCGGCGTCTGGATTTGGATCAGGGACTTAATGGGCCTGTGGGTAACAACGGGCCGGTATCTGAGCCTTGATTTGACTGTGAGTAGTGTATATGTGGAGTGCGCGAGTGAGATTGGGTGTTGTGTCAGTGTGGGTTTCAAGTAGGTATAGGTGTGGTTGCGTATGAATGAGAGGAAGTGCTGGTAAGATTGTGGGTGTTTTTTTGGGCAGTTGATATGTGCGTGACTCTTTAAACGAACAAAAGACACTGATATAGAGCTACATCCACTCAAAGACATCATTTGATGCAAAATCCGATATTTTGGTGGTTTACAATATAGTAAAATACGATTGTCATACTGCGTCTATCCAATGGCGAAAAAAGTCATCTACAACGGTCATGCTTACTTAACGAAGGGTCCATTATCAGTGGCCGTATACGACACCATACAACGCTATAAAGATGTTCTAATTTTGTAGTATTACCATCAGTGTATGTACGGACAAATAGAGTTCCACTAATATGTAGGGTTGCTCTGTAAACGATCGTATACAAATCGTATTTTTTGATCAGAGTAATTAACAGTATTTTTTTATATTTTATTCGATGCCATTATGCTTTTTAAGAAATGATCTGACACTCTGAAAGCTTGTTAAAAGTTGAACAACTTTTATATAGAATGTTTAGTTATATGTGGCTATGTTTCGTAGTAAATTGGTGAGCTCTTGGCTGCTTAGAAAGAAATAAAGTTTTTGAAGTCTGCAACAGTCGGTAGTTTTAGAATAGGTGAGTTGTATTTGAAGAAAAACTATTGAAATCCTTACTAACAGTATATATAAATAGTTTCTATCTATGACAAAAATTTTAGATAGCTTACTAATATCATTGAGCAACTACGTATGTTGTAATATAAGAAAGTGAAATTTCATAAAGCTTGATCATGTCGACACATGCTCAAAAGTAAAATCTTTGATAGTAAATTGATGTTCAAGCAAGGCTATGTAAAAATGAGCATTTATAGGCTCTCCTCTACAAATACAAAAATGATAAATAATCTGCGTAAATAGGTGAACGATATGTATCTCACTGTAGAGACTCTTTGTTTTTCATTACAAGTGTTTGGATATATAATAGAAAAGTATTCAACAGTAAGATGAAATAGATTGAAAACGAAAGATTTTTTTGTAAAAAACTTCATAAAGGATTTGCTTCTTATTTAGTTTAAAAAAGAAAATCCTCTGAAAATTATAATAGATCATTTCGTCGAAAAAGGAAGACCAGTTTATTTTACGATACATTGACGCATGTTTGTTCTTACCTGGATATATCTTGTTACTTATTACTGCTGTAATTCATTTTTCTCTGCTGTATATCATGATGATTACCTGTTCTCTTTAATTTTTGTTTCTCTTGAGTCGTATAACTGGAGATAAAGAGATTGGTTGTTATAGATTGCTTGAATAATAGACAACAACGGCTGTCTATGTAAATTTTTACTGTGGATAAGATAACAATTTTTTCTTAAACTTCACTAAAAATCTTGTTCTTGAACTGATAAGTTTGAAAACAATTGTGAGGCATAGCATCCACACACAAAACAGTATAGAATTATAATCTATATGTCACTTATTATCTCTTGTTCAATCCAAGTCAACAGATAACTAATGCATCATTTATTTGTTTATTGATAATGAAAATAACATTAGAAATCATCGAAACTTGATGACTTTTACAAATGTTTGCCTCATTCTATGCATGTTTCGTACTAGCTAATGGGCAATAGAGTGTTTCGGTTAGAACTACTCAAAAAGTGATCTTTGGTGGATCGATAGGTGGACAGAGATTTAGGTAATCCGAAAATGTTCTGTTATTCTATGTATTCTCTTGTCAACGAAGAGGATCTTGAAGGTAATGAACGTATTTAAAAATCTACCAAACTTCAAGAAATGAAAAATATTTCATGTTGAATTCAAATACTGAAAAGTATCACAAGAGAAGACCCATAACCACAGCCACCCACACTCTTGTAAAAATGGAAATCAAACGTGTTAGCTAGATAATGATGAACCTTACATATACTGACTATTCATGGCATAAATGGTAAGTCGTTACTTTTTTGGATTTTTTATCCAAACGTTTGGTAATCATCATTAGATTCATTCAACTAAAATCCGTTAGGCATGACTTTATGGAATAAAGGAAGTCATTGTACAGATTTGAGGTAAATGGAGAACACGAAAAAGTTTTGATCGCAAAATAGAACGTTCTATGAATAAAGTTATAAAAACATATATTTTATATTACATACTAGTTTTGAAAATCAAAGCTTTACCTATTGAAATTAGACGTAAATAAATTGCATCTGTCTTTTAACTTTGATAGTAATATATTTCTGATAGCTTAATTTCATAACAAAATAGAAAAAGAAAAAAAAACAAATATAGAACTGATAGAAATATACAAGCAAAACACACTGAAAAGAAAAACGCAGATCTATCGTTCCACAAGAGATTTCAGCCATTCAATATGCATTGATACATTAGTCATGGCTGAATATGCTTTTTGAAGGCCTGTTTTGGACATAACACCTGCAAGATGCCAACGATGATCGTTACTAAATAACATAGCACCTGCTCCAGAATCACCCTTTGAAAAAAATTAATTGAAAAAAAAAATCAATTGACACTCATTCAAAACAACATACCATGCCTAATAAACTTGAATTGTTTGTACTAATCGCACAGAAAGCATCTTCAGCGATATCACCTAATTGTCTTTGACATTCACTTTTACTTTCTTGATTATTAAGTACACGAATATCTAATTGTTGTTGAATGAAATTATCATCAGTATTACTATATGAAACTACTTTTAATGTATTTTGATCTTGAATATTAACACTTGTTGGTAAACAAATCCAATCAATATTTGATGAACGTTCTATACGTTTAGTTAATTTAATTAATGCAACATCATTTTTTACAGTAGCATCTTCTGAACCCAAAGATTGATATCCTGAATGCTACAAAAAAAAATAAAGAGAAGAAACATATAACTATATCTCATTGCCTTATTTAATTATAATAAGATACAAACTAAAGTAAAATTGGCAATTGAATAAGATTGACTTTGAATAAAATCAGTACTGTTCAAACTAAGATTATGTACACCAATACGAATATCAAATATATCTTTAAATGAACTTGGTTCACTTGTTAAATCCCATTGTCTAATTTGAAAGAAAAAAAATTAAATAGAAAATTATTTCATGTTAATATACTTTCGAAAATGTTGTTCATCAAGACAATGTGCAGCAGTAATAATATTCCAACTAGAAATAAGAGAAGCTGAACAAACATAACGTGGTTCACTATTGTAATAATCCGATTTGATTAACAAAACAGCAATCCATGGAAAACGTCCTGCTTCAACCGATTGTCCATCAATCATCCGGGTTCGTCGAACATGATTAACAACTAAAAGAAAATAATAAATCATTGCGTATTTATTTATATTCTTAAAAACCAAAAATTTCTAATTGGATCACCCTTTTTAGATTTGATTTTTTTTATTGATTTTTTAATAGCATGTAATCGTAAGCTAGTGTTAGAAATAGCAAAGGAAGACATTGTCGTTGGTAAATCAGTTGTCATGAATAGATTAGCAAAAGCAAATGATAACATACCGGCTGATCTAGAACTTGCATAATCAAAACCACATTCTAAATAAAAATGAATATTTCATTCATTTTCTTTTTCTTTTGCAAATTTCTTACCAATACATTCATTTCTTATCATATTCATGCAACATGCAAATGATCCATTCCGATCTTCACATCGTGAATTAATATCACAAGTTATATTGGATTCAGCACATTCATTAATATCTATTTATTAAAAAGATGTAGAATATTTATCAATACCTAACAAGTTCCAATACTTATGCAAATGCCATGTTCATTTCGTCGATAGCCATGAGCACAAACACATCGAAATGAACCATGTGTATTTTCACATATTTCATTATCACCAGTACAATTATGTGATGACAAACATTCGTTGATGTCTATAAATAAAATATAAAAATATTTTGTTTAATTTTTTAAAATTAGTTTACCTTCACAATGTAATGAATTGAATACATCGTGTCTAAAACCCGGATTGCAAATACATTCAAAACTACCATTTGTATTAATGCAATACCCATTTGAACATATATGATCATCGATACATTCATTTTTATCTTAAAAGAAATGTTGAAAAAAAATAAAAAGACTATCTTTAATTTATATATGATTATTTAATTTTTCTTCTTGAAACTATTGTGAAATTGACTGTACTCTTTTATAAATCTTATCAATTCTAAAAGTTGAATTCTCTCCATGGGTTTTATTTATATAATCTGACATAATTGAAAAAAAAATTAAATATTTACCTTGACATATGATTCCATTAGTTGATGTAATTGTTTCATAGCCGTTTTCACAAAAGCACTATAAAACACAAAACTCTTATGACTACATTCGACATTAGGAATAAACTCACTATATAACTTCCAATAGTATTATTGCATCTTTGATGTTCTCCACATGTTTTTGAATTTTTACATTCATTAATATCTTTAAGAATATAAACATTTATTTCACAATGTTCTCTATAAATTTATTACCTTCACAATGTGTTAAATTATTATTAATAGGTGAATGTTGAAAGCCTGTTGTACAATTACATTCATAGCCTGTTCCATTAAATTTAATGCAAGGAAATCGTCCACATACAGGTGGTTCAAATTCACATTCATTAATAACTATCAAAACAATATTTAAGAAATAAAAAACTACAATGTTCTTTAAATGAACTTACATTTACATTCACAATGTGTTGAATTTAATTGAACAAGTTCTTCGCTTGGATCACATGATAAAGAACATTTCGTTACTAATCAAAAAGAATATTTAAAACGAAAAGAAATTCAAATAAGACCAATATTCTTACGTTTATGTTTCGAATGAAATACAGCAAAACCAATAGCAACACCAATAATAGCAAGAATAATAAGTATTAGAAGTCCAAATATATACCAATATTTCGAACATATTCTAAATACTATATATAATCACAGTTATTATTTAGATATAAAAAGAAAAACTATTAACCTTTTCGATTATGATTAGTTTTTTCAAATGACTTTCGAGAAGCATATAAATTTGAATTCAATGATCGAGTCGAAAGTCCATGTGAATTGGCACCACTAATGTCACTTTAATGGAAAAATAAAAATAAATGAACAAACAAAAAAAATGAAATATATTCTTAACTACCTAAATGCTGCATTGTTATAAGCATATATACTATCTCGACCGGGTTGAAATGTATAAATAATATCATTTTTACGCCTAGGTTTTTCTAATTTATTTGGTTGTAAAACGAATTCATTACCATCGACAACAGCATCACGCGATGAAGCTGCATATGGATCACTGATATATGAAATACGATCACGACCATCCGATACATAACTTAAATTATCAAAATGTTGTCGTTTGGAGTAAATGCCGTTTCTCATCTTTCGGCTTTGTACATGACTAGAAGAACTAAAAAAAAATAGAAAAGCAGAGTATGTCTATCAGACAACGCCATCGATACACGTATATCAATGATAAACTAACAATATAGTTTTTAGTGTTGTTGTTTGTGTTTTTCCTACTTTAAAATGTTGAGTATATACTGTTTAAGACAAATCAAATACTTGTATCGATATAATCTTCATTTCTAGCAGAAAAAGGGCAAGACAACAGATGATGTATCGTTTTACATGCTCACCTTGCTTATTTTAAACTTTTTTTTTTCTACTCTTCATTCAATATAGTCCCGTTGTTAGGTCAAATATGTGAAGAAAAATGTGGCGCGTCCGCACTCAGCGCGAGAGAGAACGACGTTTGGATGAATGGAAATAAGAACGGTTAAAATGAAGACGAGTTTGAAAAGAGCGCACACGTAAAAGGGAGGAAAAAAAAAACATTTGGGCACTTGTGTTTTACTTGGAGTATAGAACAAGAAAAAATTTGAACCAAAAGAAAGAGAACTTAATTTCGAGGAAAAAGAACATTAAATAACTGTCCATATACTTTCTTACTGTTCTTTTGATTTGACATCTATTTATCTAGCAGATTGTTTAATAAAAAGAACGAAAAAATGGGAGAGAGTATTCGTCATTGCGTGGATTGGATTTATCCATTCTTAACGTTGTAAAGTCACTATTATTCGTCGGTTTTTTTTTTGTCACGAATTATTCAACAAGACGTATATATACTATTGAATAGTTCACATACATAATACGTGAGTGTCTACTGTGAGTATATTTATATGAATTATGACTCATTCAGCTGAGAAAAAAATAAAATGACTCAGCTTTTTTTTTTAAACATTTGCACACAACAGTGTGCGATTTTAACTGTGTATCTGAATAAAGAATATATATTCTTCTTATGTCTCATGATTCACAGTAATACATCTGAATTTGAACTCTAAATTATGACGCTTTCACTATAGAGAAGAAAGAGTTCCTTTTTTTTTGTTTTGAAATAAATATTCAATGAAACATGTAGTATTAGCATTCTTATAATATATTTTTAGTGAAATTTAATGATTGTCACTGTAGTATGAATGCAAAACACTTCGCATAAAAAAAAAGGCTAATGTTTTTTATTGACATTTTCGTTATGTAGGTATTAATAGAAATTGTAATTCATTCATAAACTCAATCAAATGTTATTTTCTACATGCCCGTAAAGGATTTATTAACACAATAACACAGAAATTGCGTTAAAAAAATATGGAATTTTTGCATTTTTTTTTGCTTTTTTGGTCGCACAACATATGATTCAGTTTTCTTCCAGAATGATTCTTTATTTTGATTTAATAAATTATAATAAACATTAAATCGTTTTTCATTTTCACTATTTCGTCACATATTTTATTTATTTGATTAAGAATATTTAGATAGGGACTTAATCATAATCCTAGTGTCTTCGAAGCAAGTATCTATAATGAAGAATATAGTGCAAGGTGATCATCAAACAATTTTACCATAATTAAATAAATTAGTAGAATTGAAATTCTGTTGGTGTCATTATTACGATCGCATGTCTGGAAGTCATTGCCATTATTATCTTACTTTTTTCTTCCGTTTAAATTTCTTTTCATGTTCAGTAATCGGTCTCTTCCGTCTCATACAAATAAAACTATAAAGAGATTATGTATTTTTCCAGATCATTTTATTGATCAAGATACTAACATTAAGTAAAGTCTGTATGAATATGATGCTTGAGATGATTGACTAGATTATCAATAACATGCAGAAGAATGAATTTTAGATCGATACTTGATACTTGCCTTTAGTATCTCTCTTTAAAACATCAGGCAGTACTATTTGGTCTTTCAAAAAATAGATTGCAATACTATATAAGTAATTAATGGCGACAACGATTGAAAACTTTTAGAATAGTATGAACCTTGAATATTATCTTTATATTCAAAGCTTTTTCTATGTTATTGATTCGAAATCATCTGAGCAATCTTTCATCCGTAATTGACAAACAGACAATAACGTCTACTACCTATTGATGAATATTATGCATTGCGTGACTCAACATATTTTCAATTCGTATTACAAATCAAATAGTAATGAAAAGAAAAACAGAACATTTTCTTCTGTTCTCTATATTTAACTAGGATTATCAGATCACTGTCTCGCATCAATACAAATACATACACCTCCGAATATCTTCGATTTCTGTGTGCACTATAGATTCAAAACTTTGTCTATTTATTCATCATCTTATCTACGTATATTAGCCTCAACCAAAATAAAGACAACGTAAAAGAAAAATTATTTTCCAGATTGAAGTAGAAATTCACGCAATAGAAAGTTAACTTTTGTTTAATTAAAATTGAAGAAAAAAACTTCGTCTCTCTAGGACTTATTTGAAAAAAAGCACGGAAAAGTATAGAAGTTGTATGCAATTTCGTGAAACTTTTATTTAATGTATTCAAAATGAAGTGTTTATGTATCTATAATCATTAAAATAAAGAGTAGTTTATCAATAACGAAATTAGTGATCTCTTCAATTGGCGAAAAAAATATTCTTAGAAGTCAAGTTTGGCAAGAAAAATTGACTTAATATTTTTTGGAAACATTATTGATTGACAATTATATTAATTTGAGAAAAGAATGAAGATAGAAACTTAAAATATTTTAAAAAAGAATTTAGGAAAAAAAAACATTTTGATCAACTTATATTATTATTATTTAATATATATCGAATTAAGATTTGTTGGAAAAAAGAAAAAGAACTAAATTCGAGTTTATAAAAATTCCATCTATGTAAAGAAAAGTAATAAAAATAAAAAGGAGCCATCAGATCCATACCCTTCAGCAGTAACTATTGTTAATCTTCATTCAATCTTATTTATTCTATTCTTCACTTCCGTCGTTACTTTGATCAAGATTACGATAAATTTTATTTGGTGTTTTTGTTTTAACAATCATACAAATGCATAAACGATTAAATTGAATTATTGTGTTCAAATCATAATGCTGTTCTTCTTTGGAAAAATTCAAAATCTTCTTTAATATCGAACTTAGTTGAATGAGTTGCTCATCAAATATTGTCTACATATGGTTATAATTGAAGTTCTTCGCTCACTCTATGTTAGGGAAGTTGAACTCATGTAGTCATTGAAAAATTTATTTTAATACACGATGTAATCATTGTCAAAAAAGTACAATCTCCAATAGTGGATACTTTTCCACAGTTCTTCAAAATGAGTTTCGGTTAAAATTGAATCTCGGAATAGAGAACATCATTGTCAAAAATTTTTGAATAGAATAGTTCGAATCGTTCGCCCACAATGAATAATTGTTGAATTCGTTGACATCAATCTTCCCAATGCCTTTTTCAACTAGCAAAGTGCTCATCAACAGCTCATGAGACCTAGTTGGAGTTGATGAAAAAACAAATTACAATATCTTTTTTGTGACTAGTGTTCTAAATGAGACTAAAAGTTTACGTAGATAGTACAGAGATAGTCTTATTTGTATTATATTTCGACAAGAAAAAAGATTACATCCATTAATTAGTAATTGCGTAATGAGAGAATTCTGAAGACGAAAGAAGTAAGAAGGGACAAAGCCATGCTTTGCTCAATAGCACGGATAAATTCGTTTGATCAAGAATATAATAAAACGAAACAGCTATTCCAATGGTAAGGATGATGGTGAGACTCACCATCATTATCATCCCTACTCGAGTCATGATCATTGATTACTGATAAACTAAAAAGTAATACGAATGAAATCGATGTTACTTTTCTCGTATTCAACGAGACCATTTCTATATTGGTTCGCCCGAATTTTAGGTATCATTTCGACAATAGATCTTTTTATATCTATTCAACAGCCTAAACTGTACATTCTCACCTGCAATCTTTAATAACAATTAGTTGACATTTTCAAACAGAGTTTTATCAACGATTATTTTAACAACTATTAATCCCTAACATTGTTTTCAACGCTAAAAATACCAGACAAGACTTGACACAGTGCTCTAGCCCGTTATCTGATTCATTCTTGTTCTAAAGATATCTAATAAAACATATTACCTTTCTATAGTAAACACGTTCATATAGTAGACACATTTGAAAACTTCGGAGGATACCTACTTTTGACAGATTTTAATGTATATGCTAATATGCAAAAAAAAAACAAATAAATGAGAAAACAAAAAGTTACATTAAAAAGGAACAATAAATAGATAAATTAAAAATACAAAGTAAAATAAATAACAAAACAAAATTATTCTTGAGGTTGATCAAAATCATAATAATGTGTCATATAATTATTGTTATTACTTGATCTCCATTCATTTGTACTCGATGAAAATCTATGGTTTGTCTTTTGTTGTTGTTGCATAACAAGATTTAACATAGCTGCAGAACGTATTGGAGTAATTGGTAATGTTTGTTTTGTCCAATTATCATTCGACAATGATAAACCTTGATAACCATACGATTGAATTTGTTTAATTAAATCTTCAATAAATTTCGGTGAACTTTCATATATATCATTATTATTTGTTAATGTTGTTGTTAATGAAATATTTGTCTTCTGTCGTCGAAGAGAATCTTTAGAAAATGAAAAACGTATAGATTTTGAAGTTAGCTTATCTTTAATATTTGTTGATGGTATAAATGATTCAGATGAATTAATACTTGGTCGAAATTTGCTATTTAATGATGAATTAATATGTTTCTATAGAATAAAAGTTTTATTTTGAAATAAATGTTAAAAATAAAAGAACAAAATTTCATAGTTTTTTACTATATCTATTCACAATTTTGTTCTTTTTTTTTATTTCAAAGAGAAAAATAATAATAAAGAAAACAAAATAAATGTAAAATAAAAAAAAAAAAAAAGAAAAACTATCACGAATTAATAACTCACATCGACTGATTTGGATGATGCTATTTTAGTTGTATCTTCTTTCGAAAAACTTTTATCAATTTGAATATTTGATTTTACTTTTACAGTTCGATTATCATCTGTTGTCAATCGATCTGAAAAACGTGATTTTCGTCGTTGTTTTCGATCACCATCATCTTCTACTGCTGCTGCTGTTGTTGTTGTCGTCATATGATGACACATATCTTGATAAAGAAAACGATCATCAATATCATTGAATTCACTTGATATATTAAAAGTACTACTTGTTGTTATTTGTTTTTTATGTTTATCATCTTGATCATCATCAACATCCATATTTTCTTCTATTAAATTATCATCAACTACTATTGAACTACTTCCTTGTCTAGCTTGCCATTCATTGATAGCAATTCGAAGATTATCATTAAAATATGTACATAAATCCTCACGATTATTAGCTTTCAATATTTCCATAGTAGACGTCACAATTGAACGAATATCATCAGATTTTAATGAATGACGAATACGTTCGAGTGAATCAACTATTAGTTTATGTAAATCTTCATTTGAACTAAAATAAATTTTATTAATTAATTATGAGAGATAATATGCATTTCAATTGTGAATCTATGATTTCAGTAAATGAGAGTCAATCGTAATCATTAAACATGCGGTGAAGTCCAGTGAGAAATCGTCTAGACTCATTTTTAGATGTTTTCTGCTGCGAAAAACTGTATAATAATTCAGAAGGGAAAAGCAATTGTCTCCTCTAAATCCCCTACTGATAGATTGTATTAAGATAACCATACTTGGAAATGGACCAGTTCAGCTAAAAAAACTCGATCGATTCCAAGAATGAATATAGCTTACTATTGAATTGATGGTTGTTCAGTATTAATTGATGGTTGTGATGTAGAAAGAGTAACATTTTCATTTGCTCTATTATTTCTATTTAATCGTGGATCTTTTGTTTTGAGTAATCGAGGATCTCGTGTGACAGTTGAATCTTGTAATGCAATTGGATTATATATTAAATTATTCAATGATGCATTTTCATTTGAACGATTAATTAATTTCATTGTTCGTTTTCCTGTTCCAATAATAACAAGAAATAATTGTTTTGATTCAAATGTTATAGGTAAAAAAAGTGATGATAAAACATTCGATGGACAATGTTTTGTATCAGCTGCTAAAATATACATATCACGAATTAATGATGAACTAACACATTTACTAATGACAGCAGCTCGTCCTGATGCATCTAATGTATCAACATATTTTGAAAATAATTCATTATCAATAGTATTTGTTGATGATGAGACAAGTGTTAATACAAGTACATCACGAACCGTAAGTGAATCACGAATATAATCCCAAAGATCTCCTAATCGAAGGCGTCCAAGTATGATAAGTTGTTCAGGAATATTTTCTATTAAATAATCACTTTCACCATAAACATGAACGGATTCACATGGAATTTTTATATCAGACGGATGAATTGTTCCACGCCATTGATTCGGTAAACGTGTCATTGATGTTTGTTGATCTCTAAAGAGGCATAAACATGAATGATTTAAATAAAAAAATATAATAATTTACATCGGTGGTTTTTCATTTTGGATTTTTGATGGATTATAATCATCACGAATAATTGGTTGATAGGGCAAAATATATTCAGTATTATTATTAGATGAATGAATAATAGATGAACAAGAAGAATTATTAACATTATTTAAATCATTATCATCATCGTCAGCATCATCATCATCGTAAATTAATGCATCAATACCTGTTGGACTTTCTGGTTCAATATAGTCATTATCACAATCAACTGTCGAGAAAATAGGATTTGATTGTTCAGGAATTGCAAGTTGCGGATCAAATTTTGAAGGTTCATTAGATTTTATATTCTTGGTTGAGGATATACAAGAAAGATTTTCTAAAAGGTAAAAAAATAAAAACCTATTGTTATAGAAAAGAAAGAAATTTTAACCAGAAAGAATCGATGATGATGTTTGATTATTCGATCCAAGTTTTGTAATTGATTTTTTATCAGTAATCGAAATGATTGGTTGTAAAGTTTCATCAATAGATTTAGTTGTTGTTTTTGTTGATTGAATCGCAATACTTTCTTTACCAACATTAATAGATTGATCATCTTTGCTTTTATCAACTTTTTCCTTCGATGAACTTTCTTCTTTCTTCAAGACATCGAATTAGAAAAAATATCGTATTACTAATTTTAGCCCATGAATGTGCAGTTTCATGAAACTGTTTAACGAAAACTCACACTAACACTTTGACTACACAGCATTGATGTTCATTAAGGTCCCCTCTCCCTCAAAAATCGATCTCAGCCCAGGAACGTTCAAATGGGCTGAAATTTGGAGCATATGTTGGAGCTGAAGTGGGAAGGCTGTGGTAAAATTTTCAGCTCGATATACTGACGTTTGACAGAGATATGAACCAAACAAGGGTCAAAAATAGCACATTTGGCAAGCAAGATTTCTCGGTCCGGGCTCTGTCAATATATTTAAATTTTTTGTTTGTTTGAAAGAGCATCTCAGGATGCAGGGCATCAAGGGGTCCTTTTTTTTAAATACTTACTTTTCAAGCGAAAAAAGGGCATCACAAGTTCAATGACTAAAAAATTTATCAAAAAATGGTAATCAAATTATATCACTGACTTCATATTGACTCAGGAAAAGGGGTATTTAAAAAAGGGCGACGTAGTGCCCTGCATCTTGACACGCTCTTTCAAACAAAAATAAAATATTAATATATTGGACGAACCATTACAGAGGAATTTAGGATGCGCGTACGGGAAAGCGAAAAATGAGAGAAAATAAAAAAGATTTTTGGATATTTCAAAAAACAGCTAGTTTTTCAAAAACTGGTTCTCTGAAATCCTGAAAAGTTTCTAGGAAAAATGAGGTTTTCAGGGAAAATTTTTATCAATTTTAAAAGAGCAGACGACGGGCTATTTTCCTATGTATTTATCTCAATTTTGGCAGTTGTCACAAAAATTGACTTTTTTTGAGGGAGAGGGAGGCCTTAATGAGAGAACCTATCCAAGTGATAGTCTCCGTTTGAATTCATAGCTAAGACTCATGGTTTAGATAAAGATTCTGAAATGCCTCATACCATTAAGAGTTTCTTCCCGATTTATGGTCATTTTATTCAACTTCCAGCCTATTGTAGGATGTGACGAAAAAAACTGCAAGAAGAAGTTTCGATCTGATATTCTTTCCAACAATAGATCGCATGGTCCTCCTGATTTCCTGAAAGTTTCAACTCAAATCAATGTCTCTCATCTGAGGGATGACACGCTTTCACAAAACGCTATTTTCATATAGGTGTTCCAAATATAGACCAGTTTTTAGAGATATGATAGTTTCAGAATAACTTGTTTCGTTTGCACTAGAACTTTCAAGATTTCCAAAGGACCATGAGAGCTATTACTTCGAAGTATTATAGACCAAAACTCCTTGTTGCAATTATTCTCGTTATATCGTGTAATAGGCTGGAGGTTGAGTAAAATGACTGTAACTCGAGAAGAGAAGTTTAATGACACAAACAATTTCAGAATTTTGATCTATGCGATAAGTCCTAGTTGTGAGCTCAAACAGAGAGTATTTTCATTGAAACTGCACATCTCTATCATAGTTTCTTACTAATGTTGACAATGGTAAATGTACATCATTATGAATAAGACCTTGCCGAGTAACTTTTATTCTTGCCCGTCTTGCCATTTCTTCAGCTGTTTGTTGTTCAGCATTAATAATCCTTTGAACTTCTTTTTCAAATTGATCTTTACGCTTTTCTTTTTCTTCTAAAAACAAAACGAAATAACACCTGATAGAAAATGGAACTTTTCTTTATTCAAGATGAATACCTGGTGGTAACATATCTTCAGATTTCATTGCAACAATCTGTTTAGCTGTTAAATCTTTTGAAAGAATTTGTTTATAAAAATACTACGAAATATAAAAACAAAAAAAAATACTGATTAAGTATTAGTAAAAAAAAAAACATTTTTTTATGTATGAAACATACATTATTGTTCATATTACTAATATTAGCAATTAGCGAACGAAATTTGTTTTTATATGGATTATCAATTTTACCATAGACATGAAACATTTCTTCTTCGATTTTATTAACTATTAATCGTATATCTTCTTTTATAATATTTTTTTCACCATTTTTTTCTAATCTAAATTTGTTAGATTAAGTTTAAAATTAAGGAAGAATAAAATATAACAGACCGCATTAGAATTTTGTCATATAAAGCTGTTGGAACTTTTGATCGTATATCAGCAGTATTATTAATATTAGATATTCTATTATTTATTGGTTTTGTAACTGGTATTGAAGTCTTTTTATTTAGAATTGATTTTGTAGTCGTTTGTTGATTAGTTTTAATTGGTTTCAATGAAAATTTAGATTTAGTTGCATTATTAGTAGATGATAATGATCTTGATGAACTTGTAGATTGATTATCTCTTAATAACATTGTTTGTCGTACAGAAGATTTCATAATTTCATAAGACGGATGTTGATTAATCCAAGTGCATAAATCTTCTATTTTGGGAACTAGATTTTTTTCCAGAATTTTTTTACTTTTACTGTCATATAATAAAATGTCTTCATGGGTAGGAATTTCTTCATTATTCTAATTTATTAAATGATCGAATAAAAACAAAATCAGGAATAGAATTTCTATTTTTTTTTACTTTTCCTTTGCTTCGTTGAATAGCTTGAAGTGTATCATTGATATGACGACGAATGCATGCAGATGAACAATAAACCCAACCTAATTTTGTTGAATTCTTACAACCTTGAACAATACAATCAACTTTTGATTCCTAAGAAAAATGTGAAAGTTTAATATTTTAAAACACATGTTTTTATTTTACACTCTTGGCACTTACTGTTAACGAATTACATCTAGAAGAGATGTCCGTTTTTGATCGTTTTCTTGATTCACCATGTGAAATACTTTTTGATAAAATTTTATTTTCTCTAACACCACGATTATTTGTTGGTAATCTATCATTAGAACGTTTTCGTTTTATTGAAATTGGATCATCAGATGATCGTGTTGACTTTATATCAGTATCTAATTCATTTACTCCTATGATTAAAATAATGAATCATTCAACAGATAGAGTACAAGCTTGCTTAGCTATGAAAAAATCGACCAATGACAATTTCAAGAATTCTATGATTTATGTCACTATTTTAGATAATAAAAATATATCCCTAGTAAATGTACTTTGTTTAAGATACGATGTTATCAGTATATCACAGGAAATTTTACATACTTTATAGGTTTTTAGTACTTGGCACAAAAATCCTTCGAAACATTTAATCTAGCGACTTGCTGAATAATTTTTCTTTAAATGTTGCAGAAATTAGATAGATATCTGGTAAGTACCCTATATACTAAGACAATTCTCAGTAGCGTACTCAACTAAGGAGTAGTAACAGGGTACCGAAAGTGGTATCCTGCTAACAATTGACCCATTACATGCATCTCTTGCATTCAGGACACTTACAAGGACTACTTTATTCTTTTTTTCTTCTTCAAAATCAGTTTTATCTGATTTAATTATATAAACAGCTTGTATTTACACAATGGGTAAACTTCAATAATTAAGGAACTCAAGATAGTCAAAGCTTCTATTCAAGTGTTGGTTGTTATATGATACATTCGATTGATATTGAATATAATAAAGGGTGGCTCATAATCAATACGACGAAATGTAAATGCAATTTTCTTCTAATTTAAGTTAATACAAAATATTTAAACATATTCCAAAAGATAGAGAATTTCAAACTTAACAAAACTATAAAACTTCACTTTTTAAAAAACAGCACATTGCTTTCACACGACAATTCAAACATTTATATATTCTGTATATTCCAACCATAGGTCTCAACGGACTGAGCTGGGTCGGATCGGTTCTGGCTTGATCCGGCCCATTAAAACCTTCAATTCCAATTGTGACGCATTGTTCTGTGTGCTTCGAAAAAGCATGAAGAATTAGAGAGATGATGTATCTCGAAAATAAAGAGTTTTAAATCAAATGACAGAAAATTTTTCCCTCTATTTGACTGATTCCCTTTCAGATATTCAAACATTTTTGGATAATTGAAAATCCCTTGAAAATATTCTTCACGGTAATTTAGACAGAATTTTTCAAACAGTAAAGTTTTTCTTAAATTAAAGTTGAAGTTGCAAAGTCGACATTCAGACACTGAAAAATGCAGAATTTTGTTCTCTCCAAGACTCCATCGCTAGCTAATCGCACTGCAGCTTGGTTTTGCCAAAACTCATGAACCACCGAGCATATCCCACAGTGGATGTAAAGTTTTGTTTCCATTGATGAGTCCTGAGTTTTCATCAGAAACTGTCGTCTAAAGTTTTGAAAAATTGCCGAAAATATAGACTATTTCAGATTTCACCGAAAATATGATCGTTTTTTTGAAGACGCCTAGTAGATTTCTGAATAGCGATGTCACACGTTTTTTTCTTTTGTTTTTGTTTCACCATGGGGATATACAGTGTGTTGGTTGTTTCGAAATAAAAAACTTCTTTGTAAAAGTGAAGTACATATTTTTGTAGAGCTTGAAATACTCCACCTCTTCATATATGTATATAAGTGAAAATTATATATAAATAGGAAATGATTGAAAAATTGCATTAACATTTAATGTGATTCACTATGGCCCATTCATTAGGAAGTGTTGTATTTTAGAAGTGACATATAAGTGAAAAATATTTTGCTCGAATAGAAATCTGTGAAATTGATTGATATCTTTTCTTGTTACAAAACATGTCGATACCTTGACATGGTGGACAAATAAATTGAGTACCATTTATATCAAGTATTCTCACGTCTTCTTTAGTAACTCCAATACTAGAATTCATAAAATAATACAGTATTTTGCTAAATTTCTAATAAAATGATAATGAATTTAATATCTTTACCAATCTCCATGATACCAATTAGAACATGAATCACATCGTAACATTAGTCTTGAATGATCCCATGGTTTGTTACATATACACCAAAGACGACGATGAAATTGATCATTATCATCATTTGTTTTTTCATCTTCATCACCAGATAATGTGATTATATCATCATCATCATCATTACAATATTGTTTAATATTTTTTTCATTTTTATTATTATTCTTATTAATGAATGTTGGATTATTAAGAGCCCATATTGCTTGACGAATTTCGTCATACATTCCTCGTTCAAGATCAAGATAATTTAATTTTGCTCGATTATTACGTCGTGGATATGATTTACAATTATCTTTATATTCACTAAAATCATATTCAATTCTTTCCTTCTGCAAAACAAAAACAACAAACTTAACTGTAAATTATTCGTTGAACCACTTTCTCTATCGTTTGCTACACGATCAATATTCGGATGGTCGTTAGACAAACCTGCAATTATTCATGGAATAAGAAAATTGTTTTGTACAGTGACTAATCAAATAAGAAGACAAGTCACTGATACTAAGAGATATTCAACATATATGTATGTTTGACAACTGGAAAACAAAAGAAATTTTTTCACACCTGTTGTAAGAAGATTAACCATGTATAAGAAAAATGAGAAGATAATATAAACAATTCATCTTAGTAACAATAAAATCTACTTTTTCTTTTATACTTAATCTACTTGTAAGTACATAATCATTTTGGAAATAAGATTTGGCGCGAACAAATCAATCACAGTTTTTTTTTTCATTGTATCAACAGTTAAATGAAAAGTTAAAATATTCTTTATTCTCAATTAGTTATCTAGTTACTTAGTTAGTTAATTAATATAAATACTTGCAATGATTAATATCGGAAATAGAATAATCTTTTTCTTCGTTCAATAATGAACACTTTCCGCTAGTTATGTTTTCCAAATATCTGAAAATTATTCACGTTTAGTTTGTTTTTGTCCCCTCATATAGATGGCAATTCTACTTATAAAGACAGGAAATTTTTACCCATCGAAAAGAGGTCACCAATGGTCATTGCAAATAAGTTTTAACTTATAGTTCAGCATTTGTACTATAAGATGAACAACTTTTTATCTGTTTTTTTTAGAAATTATTGAATATGCATGCATTTATTTTGAGATTGTTAATTGTACTACACAAATAAATCATTATTGTTATAGCTGAGTTGACAAAATTTTACCTTTGAAATTTTCATTTGAATCTGTAATCATTGAAAACTATTCTAAATATTTTCTTGGAAAATAAAATTTAGAAAAACTTCAACCGAATATATGGAAAAACAAAAATTGAATCGTTTTTTTTCTTTTTTCAATATTTAATTCTAGTAAGAAAAACAGTTTTCTGTTTTATGTAAAGAAACTATCTATAATTGTTGGTGGCAATATTGATAGTATTAGCCCTGATTTTAATTGGTTCATAACGATCAAGTTATTCATGCATTTGACAAAACTTTATCATTTCGAACATGAACGAATAATGATAACCAATCATTAATTAATGATAATGAATCATTTTACTTTTGAATTTTATTTAAAAAAAATAAACTAATTTAAAATATTAGTTGAAGAAAAACAGGCTCGTTCAATATTTGTTAATAATATTCCTCATGGAACAACAAAAGATCAAATGAAAGATATTTTCTGTTAGTGGACCTGTTGTATCATTTCGCATTGTATTTGATCGTGAAACTGGAAATTCAAAAGGCTTTGGATTTGTTGAATATACGGTTACAAAATATCTCTTAAGTTTAAAATAAACTTTCTTCTGATAAACTTATCAAGAATGTTAACATGGCTTAAAGTGCAATAAGAAATTTAAATGGTTTTGAATTTAATAGCCGAACACTTCATGTTGATAAAGTATTACCACAAACCGATGAATTACGATTACTTCATCAACAAACAATGATTAGTGTACCAACATTTGAAACTGTTTAAAGTGCTGATAACATTAGATAAAATACGAGAAGTAATTGCCAGAATAATTGGTAAATTAAATTCTGTTTCTTTTTTTTGTTCGAATTAAAATTTTGATTTCTACTCATTTTACTAATTTTTAGTTAATCTTCCATCAGAACATGTTGTTGATTTAATGAAATAAATGCAAAATATTATTAGAATATCCAAATGAAGGATGCAACATTCTTATACAAAATCCTTAATGAATATATTTTCGATGTTACAATCACTTGTTATTATGGGTTTAATAACTCCAAATGAAGCTATTAATATGTTACATAAACGATCTGATGTTTCTTCAATCAGCCTTGCAAAAAATAATTCTTCATCAATATCAGCTTCTAATTTTCAAATAACATTCTTCATTAGTACAACAATCATCTTTGTTCCATTCACGTTTAACATTAATGAATTTTTCAATAGCATCAACAACATTTGTACAACAATCACAAACAAATTCAAATATAACTGGTAGTTTACCTTTATCACGTACTGATGAAGAAAAAGCTCATTTACCAGTTGATCAGCGAGCGAGTATCACACTATTAAAAAAACAAATGCAGCAAGGTGAAATGGTTTCATCACAATACTCATTTATTTATTTATATTCTTTAATATTGGTCGATTTTGTTTTCTATGTATAAAATGAAAATGAAATACAGTGACATATCATAATAAAACTATTCTATTCGAATGAATATTTGTTGAAATAATATCTTTCTAAAGAGAAATATACTGAAGAATAACAACAAAAAAAGAAGAAATCTTTAATAAATATTTCATTATGATTATAGGCGACGCACCATTGCACTTATAGTGTCACAATCTTCTTAAAAAATAATTAGGAGATGCCATAAGAGATTATTGTTTTCACCGATATCTCTTTATTCTGAAGGTTCATGTGGAAAGATTGACAAAGTAATGGAAATTCATTTTATTCTATCTATATCAGACCTCTATCTTTATTAAAGAAGTTAAAGGTCGGCTAATTAATATTATAAAATTGAATAAACCCAAAAACCATTCTTCTTTTCTTTTTAACTATGATTGAGAGAAGATGCCTATCAGCTTTCTCTGCTTTATACTTTTTTGTCTTTTTGCAATTTTTTAATTAGCCTCTAATTTATTCGTTGAATGTCTGAAACACGTAAAGTTTACTATTATCTCACAGATAAGCCAGGAACTCCATTACAAAAAAATCTAATACATGTAACAACTACATTCTTTTTCTAGAAAATTTCTTTGATGTCATCTATAATTGAAATTATAAAAGTAAATACAATCAGTTGATATATATTATCTTTTTTCATTGTGCTGGTGCTTTTAAGGAAACATTTTATCAATCTTAATAGTCTTTAAAAAAAAACGTGCAAATATTTAGTCATTCGAATGAATAATCTTTTGATAAAGTAAAGCACAAGTCATACAAATCAATATTTGATTGTACATTTGGTCTATCACAATATCCCTTCACCATCACTTGCTTTTGACACTCTTATGTTCAACACACTGACTCGTCCGATCTTGCATTCATTTACACTTATAGATTTATGCAACACACGCAGCCAAGTTGAATAATTTTGACTTGTGTATACCATGCAATTATCGAGAAGAATAGAAAGTTAATCGAAATATGGAAATGAAGTCAAGTGAAGTGAGAAAATGAGTACATCTCAATTCTGTCATGCTTCACACATGTGAAACATTTCAAGACTCTTGATCACACTTTTTTTTTCTCTTTTGACACAATAGTACAGGTGATATGTAAAGAGTTTTATCAATATTAAAGTCTTATGTTTATTTATTGATAATATACGTCTCTATCCAAATTTCTTCTACTTGTTATTGATATGAAAAAAACTAATCGAAAAAAAAAGAGCAAAATGTTCTAACTAAAATCATGTTTGTTTTGTCAAAATATGTAGACATTCTTTTGCATCACTTGGGATTGAGCAGATACTTTCATTATATTCGAAAAAAGAATATTTTGTCAAGATGTTAAATCCTGCTATGTTTCATCTGTTTTAACAGAGAATACAATATTTTTATTTATATATACAAACAAACTGTTGATAGAGTGCAAATTTAATAAAAGAAAAAAATATCATTGTTAGACCATCTGTTTTTCTCGTTTTCATGCAGAATGAGATATCTTTTAAAATGTGATTGTTTTGAGAAACCATGATTACAATATAAACAACGAAATGACCATGTACCATTATGTTTATGCCAGAGATGTCCATGGCGACGCGGCAGCGGCAGATTTTTTCAACAACCATCACGGAGTGGCAGCGGTGCGAGAGAAATTTTTATAATGTCGTCGCGGCAGCGGGTGTGGGTGTGTTATCACGATAGAAGGTGGTTCCATGTGCAAATGCTATAACAACAGTTTCGCAACATTTATGTATCAGAGAAGTTCTTGAGCAATATTTTACCGAATCGAATTCGAGAACTATAGTAGTAAAGAGATCTTACCTGGTTAAAGAATGCATATTTATGAAAGAATTGAAAAACTAATGTCAGATTTTGTTTCTTTTTTAGTTTTGCTTTAACTGACGGTCCTAAGAGCCTAACAATACAAATAGTATGAAGAAGAGAACAAAAATTGAGAAAAAGAAAAAGAAATCACATGATGAACAAGAACATAGAAAAGAAGACAAAGAACTACAACGATAGTTGAAAAATGAACATAAAAGAAAATGTCAAAAGGAATCAGGAAATTCCGCGATGGTAAAAATATCACACATATCGTAATCTATAAGAGAATGAGAAAACCGATTAGCAGAACACCACTGTAAACATTTTTCCAAAATAGATATATGTTGTACGTATTTCTTAGGCCGATGCAAGCTTTTTATTGAAAATTCTTTTAACAGCCAAGTTTTTCTGAATTGATTTAAATTCGCCTGCTCGAATAACAGCTCGCTGTTGACTGAATCAGATAGTGTTAGATTTTGTTTCTGCACAATTTCGTTGACATATGTCTGAAATGATGTTGATTACAATCAGATTTCAGATTGAACTCACAAAATATAGGACATCTTGTCTACGTAATATGTGAACTACCTAGGCAGTTCGTATATTACGTGGACAAGACGTTCTATATTTATGGGTTCAATCCTAGGCCTGATCACAACTGAAGCTAAACAGCTGCGCTATTTACCTACTTGACTCTATAATTATTTTATTGATGAGGTTCATTACTTAGTGAAAGTCTAAAGCAGCAGTTGTGGTTTTACGTTTATGTATTGCACGATCTTGTCGATTGCAGATATTTTTTGTTCGCAACAGTGGAGCAGGATGTGTAATTAAACGTAATAAGTTTCCATGAATTGATCCATATATATTATACTTATGTCACTGTTGATGATTGAGAAGACCCACAGTGTTGAGCTAATACAATCTAACCTCGTCCCAGTCGTTCGATTTGACTAATGAAAAAGTCTTACGAAGCGAAAGCAATGGTTCATTTTCAGAATTGCAAGTAGTATTTTTTATTGTAGATTCTGTACAAAGAATAAAGTATACTGCAAAGAGAAGAGAATCAATATTACAGGTATTAGTTAGAGGATATGCTTGACCTAAAAAGAATCAATTTGAATTTTATAGATGAAAAAAAAGCCAATCAAACCTTCGAAAATTTCCATATTAATGCCAAAAGCTGGCCACAAAAGAGGACATTCTGGAATTATCAAGTTTTAATGTAATTGCCTATGTGGTGATGAATCAGATGTTCCGGAGACTTTGAATATAGAAAATTGCTGTCCACAAATACTATTTCTTGCCGCTACTACACAGAAGGATCATATAAATGGCAATGATCTATATTTTAGGTATATACAATTTCGGCTTGGATTTTTTTTTCATCTGTCATGTTTATTTGCACAATTTTCTTTCTGTACATTTCATCTTGGAGCAGAGTTCTAATTTGTTTCAGGGATGATAAAGTAGTAAGCAAACTATGAATTTTTATATTTGAGAAAATATCAACTAGAAACATTAGCTCATTGTCTATTAACGTTGCCGTATATTACTAAATGGAATTATATTCTGGAAAAATACTCGTACTACGAAAAAATTTCTACGAACTTTGAAGGTGGTGAATCAAATGAGTCAAGTAACAAAGTTGAATTAGATATCTTATTTAAAACATCAGTAGCTGTGCCTGCAAATTGCAAGAAATGAAAAATGTATTGCTGCACACATTCCTTTTTGATTTAAGACTGTTCTATTTTGATGCAAGTCACTTCTGATCATATTTATCAGTTCGACTAAACTGTATACTTCGTTGTTTATTTTGACCTTTTTTGTTTCCACAAATCTTCTCTACATTGATATTGTTATATTTTCTTTTTCGATTTTTTACATTTTGGCTAACTTCAAAAGAATCTGCGTACAATTGAATTTGAACGCTTTGATAGAGTCATACAATCATCTGTGTTGATCGCAGGTTTTTTTCCAAAGCTGAATCTTTTTGCTTACCAAAATAATACTCCACTTGAACGTTTGTCAAACATCCTTGCTCAGATCTAAGCATATCAGTTTGTGTTCAATCATTCGTATGTTGCTCTTCGAACTCAGCAAGTAAAGATGACCATAAAGGCATGTAAGCAAACCATTTATAAAAACATCAGTTCTTCGATGAGATATAAAAGAAGATTGTTCATATTTCCACATTGTTTCCTGGCTCCAACGATAGAGAAAGTTGAGAAAACCGGCGAATGGTTTCAATATTGAAAAACGATTTATGAATAATTGCTTTACTCCGGAGTACATGCTCATCCACTTCGTATAAAGGATCAATGGCATGCTCTTCTACCTCTTTGCCACAAGAATCAATCTTTTTAACAGTAGTTTTCATTATTAAACGGTACTTCTAGAACAAATGAAGAGTATTCTTCGCTTTGGTAGCATGAAACTTACCAAACATGTGCAAAAACACGTTTCACAGATTTAAATAACACTTTCAAACCACCAACGTTAATAAACAAAGCGAATACATGCAAAAGCGTTTTCCTTCTGTCTTTATCCACGTTTGCAGCTGATAGACCTCTGACAAAGATATTTGTTACATGAGAACAGAGTTCTTTTGTATCATACTTTCATAAGACAGCATTGCAACATCGTTTCAAATGACCATGGATATCTTCTTCATCGTTGCAAGCCTATATATAGCACTAGATATTGTAGGAGAAGAATGTGTAATAAAAAAACAAGACCGAATAACTTTCTCTTTAAGAGTAACGATATGTTGTCGAAAGATATCTAAAAAAATAGCTTATGCATTCATTGGTATGATCAGTAAGAATAGTATGTCCTAGTGGAATTACTTTGATTGTATCGTTTCCATCTTTAAAAAACACCTGCAGATGATAAAATTGTCTTTTGATGCTGTAAATGCTTTACTACTGATCCAGTTGCATCGATGTGTACACATGAGTAAATAATATTTAAACGGTAATTTGTAAAGCATGACATTTGGGGACGAGGGGTGTGGATGTAAATATAGGCTTCGTCCTCATCCACAGCTCTATTTTATAATATGATCAGTAAACCACATTTGGCTTGATGCTAGGTCCTCTAAAAGTTGAGTTTTTACTTCGAAAAGTTCCTTGACTGGTGCTCTATTCTACAAAAATAAATAATAATCAATAATCAACGACCGGTTTTCAGCAGTCCTCAACAGATAAACTTTCTTTCTTTCCTCACTGTGGTGCTTTTCGTTTGCTCATATTTGTTTGTTAAAGATTATCAACAATGAAGACTTATCCAGTTATAAAAATTATTTTCTTTTATAGTCTTACTTTTCTTATTGAGATCCTAGCCTGTAATGAAGATTTATGACGATAACAAGATGTTTTCCTTCTGATTGACCAACCTTTCAATCTCCACTTCAACTTGTTTATTCTATATATTTCCCAGCTACTTATACATATCCAATACACAAAAGTAACGGAGAAGAAAAACAAAACTACGAAGGAGAGAAATATAATGTCAGAAGATAAAGAGAGGAAAATAGGAGATAGTCGATATCGTTGTGCTACTTAAACTTGACTAAATAATAATGAAGATGGTGCTAGGCATCTTCTTTCCAAATGCTTTTAAATTTAGAACAAGATGAAAGATTAAGAATTTATTGAAATTTTCAAGGATGACAAGAAAACAAGAAGAGAACGAGAAGAAAGAATGATTTTATTATATATACAAGAGTGGATAACGCATACTAGAGAATGAAAATACACATATCCATACATGCAATAAAGATGAAGAAGAAATAAGAAATAACGATGGATATTGTCAAAGTACTGTCTAAGAACCTTGTTGATATTTATTTTAATTGAATATGAAAATGAAAAGAAGGAGAACTAGTTTAAAAATGACAAATAACAAAGATAAAATGAATGGATAAAATTTCTTTCTATTCGATCGATCATTTATTCATGTGATTTTAATATCCAGCGTACGTGTATCGTGACACATATATAGACGACCTACCACTTATGCATTATGAAAATGTTCTAGAAAATATCGTTCATTTGTTCCTTTATAGAATTTCTATTGTGCTTTCAACATCATAGTCTTCTTTAAATGTACTTGAAATCCCCATATGGGAAAACATTCTTTTCTGGCTTATTATTAATAAATTATAAAAATAAAAGTAAATCGTGTTGTTTACCATAAGTAACCTAATACTAACAGATAAAGATGTAAAGATAACAGAAACAAGGCCAAGAGACAATAAAAACGCTGAAAAGTCGACAAGAGAATATCACTCACAAAAAACCAATAGATCATCACAACTTACAGAGTCTTGATAAAAGTGGTCAGTTTTTTATGTTTTTATGTGCGAAAACAGCGTGCTTCCGTCAAAATTCATTATATTTCTTCCTGGTAGTTTCTCTCAGTTGTAAGACTTATTCTCTATTCAGTAACTGAATAGAAACTAAAAGTGCACTATATTATCATTAAAAAATAGTAAGAGCACGTGAATCGAAACACATCATTAGTTAAAAGTCAAAATCTAACTTATTAATTGATTGTAGCATTCATGTTTGATTATAAAATAATTAGATAAAAGCTTGCATTAAGAGACATTAGTTATCGATACAAGATTCAGTCCAAGGATCAAGAAGCATGACTATTATTGAGAGATTCAAGCCCATTACATTAGAACTAACATGACTGATACTGTCCATATTCATAGAAAAATCAATTTAGAGATGAAATATTGATGAATGTAAAAAAGATATTTGTTTCGTTTCTCATGATTTAGAGAGTTAATATTTATAAATTGTACACACAATATATTATCTTTAAAATATTATTGAGAAAAGAAAATGATATTGACTGATCCGGATCAATGAAATAACATACAGTAAAGTATCATGAGTCAAATAATATCAATAAACAGCTTTCTTATCGAAATCTTCTTATAAAATGAATCGAATTTAGTGTCTACCATTGTTATTGTTAGTTCTGTGTTGATCCGCTTGTCTTTAAAAAAAGAACTGATAGTGTATAATGTATCGGTGTGTGTATGTGGAGGTGAAAACAAGACTCAAAATCACCAACTCCACACTAGACATGCTGTAGCTATTGCCAGCGACACCGTCAACTTTTTTTCTACACAATATTTGCTTTATGAAAAACAGTATCTATTTCTCGTTTGTATAGTTTAATATAAAAAAAATATATGTTCACCTACACATAATGATTTATGCTCCATGATAAGTATTATATATACTTTCTTGTAACTGATTCAATAGCCCAAAGGAGGATTCAAGATTTTCGATCAAACTGTATTAAACAAAATTGTGCATGTTGTACGCTATTATATCGAAAATGGAAAGTCAGATAATATTCTTTTGAACGTAACGAAGAAATATCAAGATCGTATCTCAAAAATTCGTTTATTAATCTTGAAAAGAACGTTTCGTTTGTTTATAGATACCTCTGCAAAACGACGCCAGCGTGAAAGTTTAGCCATCACTTTTTTCGAACAGTTCTGAGATTAGTTGATAATTAAACAAGTAATTGATTGTGTTCTTTAGAGATTCATATATTCCTACGTATTGATAGAGTTCTCTTAGCCATGAATTTCTTTCTGTTTGTGGTTTTCAATTTCTTTCCGATTTTGATCAACTGATCGATAAGTAATGTTTCTCCATAAGCTAGCCTATTGAAAATTCCAATATATGCAAAGTTTCATGTAGAACTTCGAAAAGATGATATTGCCAGAAACTCGGGATGCTACAGAAAGATTTTAGTAAAATTCGTCTGTCTCAGTCAAGTTACAGCATGAGCCTATATCATCTTGGACTTTGCCTAGTTTACAGGTTTGCTATATGCAGACAAAATATAGAATCAAAAGCAACGAGTCACTTCGAACAGTTTCCTCGTGAGTGGTACAAGCGTCACTGGCTTAGAAAGGATTGATTCTTCGTTCCTCGCATTGTTTGTAGTCGTCTTTCTAATATGTGAGCCGTTCGATATTGAATCATTGTGGAAAACTAGTTACCATGAGTAAGACCTATTCAGTGTGCCATGTTTTTTTTTATTGCTATCGATAATTTTTCTTGAAAATCAGTCAAGTATATCAACGTATGTCCCATGGTTTTCGTTGATAATAACCAAATCGTCTGTATTTATCTTAGTTAGTTTTTCGGTTAAAATTTCAAACAAAAACTTCTCGATATTTTTCCCGAAGACTTTATTACGTGTATTTTTCTTTTTTTTGTCGATCTTTGGAATAAGTGTAAGTAGAAGTTACACTATTATTTGTTTGGACTAGATTTTTTTTTCTTTGGAAATAAACAAACTCAATCATCTTAGAAAAAATGATAGTCATTTTATAACTCATATTCAAATATTCCTATGCACAACATCTATTTATTATTTCATGCAGCGAGAACAGTTATAAGTGATGTGTTTACGAGTGGTCATTATTTGTCTATTGTTTTCACTTGATTTCATTTTTCTCTTTTCATAATTAACAAGTTAACTCATATCTCATGTGGTTTCGAATTGGCATATTCTCAATAACTGTAGTGCTAGTATGTACAAGATCAGACAAATAGCTAATGTTAAGTGGATGATATGTTATAATAGTGAAAGTTTATTTTCAATTAAAAGAAAAAAAAACGCGTCATAGAATAATAGAGCGTACGATAGACTTACAAGAAAAGAAAATGAAATTATACGAGTATAATGATTTACATTCAACGTTGATTAAAAGTGCATCAATTTCCTGTTTTACTACTCTCGTTGACGCTTCGACAATGAAGAAAATACGTGAGAAAATTATGGTGTATGTTAACTTTGAGAATACTTGAAAAGCAATTGAGTGCAGAATTTAAATCAATGAATTGCTTGGTTCATGCACAAATATTAATATGAAATAAACTGTAAAAATGATATATAGAAAATGACACTTCACAAGAAAAAAATTGTTCTGAAATAAAAAAATACAATAAGATACCAGTTTAGAATTAGGAAAAAGTATAATCATTAATTGATAAATACTTTTTCAATATTGTTTATTTTACAATATAAATTCTATTTTCTGATCAAAACAGTTTCAAAAATATATATATTCTTCAGTCAGAGGCACAACACAGCACTGAAGGCGAGGCATCAAGTGGCTGAGTCTCAGAAAAAGTGGCTGCTGCGTGGACAACTGTCAAAAGCATGTGGAGCGTTGTGTGGACACATGTCAGAAGTAGACGGGCGTCACGTTCTACTACCATAAGTTACGTCCCAGTTTATAAAAAAATATTGTTTTCTTTTTCATTATAAGATATGCATCATAACTTTAATCGACATAGGAATTCTTTTTAATGCTTCTCATTATTTTATTTTATTCTTACAAAAAAACAATATTTCAGTTAGAAACAAGAAAGTCAACTTAGATTTAGAATAGATCACTAAAATGTTATTTTCAAGTATTATTGTGATTGCAGATATGCCAGTGATCATCAGTATTCAATGAATTCTTTAATTTATAGAGAGAATTTTTCATAATAATCTGTATTCGAAAGAAGGAATTTTGTCTCTATTCGCTTTATCTTAAGGTTATATGTTGATAGAAATCAAGTTGACCAATGTTAAGTGATAAGCATCTGATTTTACATGACACTGTCGATAGAACTTCTCATACATATTTAAGGTCTTCACTTATAAAAACATAAATCTTATTTTCTCTGACTTTCAAATCGATTCGATTTAAAAAAATAATAAAAAAGAGAAAAGTGTTATTTTTCATTGCTAACATCGTTGGTATTGTGCATAAGCCGAACAGTCGACACTGGATAATAATTTATCAATCATATCGTCAATATTTATTTGTATAGGCTCATTATTAGCATGAGACCGTTTTGAACGATGATGATTTTTTCTTGGTCTATCAGGTGTTTTATTAATTGAAGCAGCTATTGGTCGTAGGCAATCATCAACAAGAGCACGTACATCATTTTGTAAATTATCATTCAATTGTTCGGTAGAACTGGTACGTGGTATTGTTGCATAAGTTTCTTCATCATTAGCTGGTGGAAGTGAGTCATCATGGTTCGAATATTGTACAACAGAATTTCGACGTTGTCGACGATATAAATGATTATCTTTATCCGTCGTTAACCGATATGTATCATTCGCAATTCGTACAAAACCAGCTTTTTCTAATGTTGCACTTGGTGATCGACTTGTTGGAATACGTTTTTCGATTTTTTTAACAATAGCTGCTGATGATTGACGAGTTTTTGTTATTATAGGAGTATGTATCTGATTATATTTGAGAAGATCTTCTGCACTGCATATACGATGAGAATGATTAATAAGTTTTTGACGTTGTATTTGTGGTGATTTATTATCATTTGTTTCCAATGTTGATGCTGGTAAACGATAAGATGGTACAAATGAATGAGATTGATAATGATTTAATGATGTTTGAGAATCATCAATAGCTTCAACTGAAAGAATATCTATGGTAGATAATGTATCTTTTAATGGTAGACAAGGGCCATCATTTGTATCGGTACGTTCATCAGTAAATATACCACTTGATGTTGATTCATCACGCATATCATTATCATCCATAGATGATGATGAACGTGTTTGTGTTGATAATTGAGATTTTTCAGTAAAATTATTTGATGAACTGTGAGGATAGTTAACTATACATTCATTGGATAAAATTGATATATTGATTTCTGATTGTTGTGGATCAATTGAATTTTGTTGAAGAAAATTTCCATAGGACGATGAAAGAAATTTTGATCTATCATTAACTGTTTGTTCAGTATTATATCGTGTTGCATCTATAGAAAGTTCTTCATTTAATTGAGCATTTTTACGAATGGATGGTTCAGTACGTTTTGGTACTAATGCATTTGCATGATTAAGTAAGTTTGATGATGATAATAATGTTGAAGACTTTTCACGTCGCATATTAAATGCTGGTAATTGAAATTGTGTGTAAGATGATACAGGATTTAAAGAATTATTATCATTTATAGAAGAAGTTGGCATTGTCTTTATTCTATTTCTTGCTGTCAAAAGTCTTGGAGTTGTTGTCAGTGTTGCTGGCATTTTTCTTGTTGTTATTGTTGTTGCTGGTGCTGGTGCTGGTGTTGATGTTACTACTGTGGCTCTTGTCGGTGCTGCAGAATTCATTATTTGAGATTTTCTATTCGATTTATGTGAAGCACTAGAAAGTGTGCCAAACCATTTTCTTGGGTTAAGTGTCCAGTGACCTTTTGATGGCATTAGTAACGTTATCCAATATACTTTTTGATTGAATAAAGTGAAGTAATATTGGCTAAAATTGCACTTGAACTGTTTTTTACTTTAATTTTTATTTTTTAATCGATTGATAACGTGAACTGTGTATAGGATTGTACGAAGCACAATAAAAAACTGTGAACAGAAACACTCGAGTCGTTCCTTTCCAAATATAAGAGATGCAGAAAGAGAAGTAGAGAGATGGATGAGTGTTTGAAATACGAACAACAACAAGAAGAAGAACAACAAGAGTAGCAGCGCGATTTCACCTTTTGCTTGCCATTGCTCTCTCTCTCTTTTTATGGCATAGTAAGAGAAATGCAGAACAATCAAATATTTTTTTTTGTGACAAGTCATCAGCATCTTATATTCAATTGATTGTGTTATGTGTCGAACATTTTTCTCTCTCTGTCAATTCTCTATAATAAATACTTTTGACGATTTATTGCGCATTCACACACACACATACATATATATAAGATGAAAATTGAAAAAAATAAAAGTAACAGAGCAAAAAAAAAAGAGAGACCGGCTCAAGATACTTGAAATAAATAATATGTGTAGGAAATCACAGAAAATTAATAATAATGCATTTCTATGAATTTTAATTCCAATTATAATGCTTTTATTGTTCATCCAAACTCCTTAATGACTTAAGATTTTGATTATTAATTGAATGACTACTTTGATTCAAATAGTCAACAGGAGAAACTTTTGTTGACGACTTTTGTGTTTGTTTAATATAACCATGATTTGTACTATCAGTTAATCCATCCGTAGAAGTAAGACGTGAACGAGGTTTTTTATCATATTGATGTAGTTTCTGTTGTTGTTGATCATATTTATGCGTTTCAGAAATAACAGTTATTTCATGTGAAGAAACTTGTTCACGTTCTACTTGATGATTTCGTCTAAATTGACGCCCATCTGTAGAAGATTGTAGATCGTTTGTATTTGAATTAACATTATTGTTTTTGAAACAACCTTTAAGAACCAAAACAAGGATAATAATAAAAATTGCCGATACACCAAAAACAACCCCACCACCAATCATTCCAGTTAAACTAGGTCTTATTAAACCTGAAAAGAAGTTAAATATATATATAATGTCAGTCGAGAAGAACTATACCATAAATGAGGGCACCAATTCCACCAATAAGTCCCATAGCTAAAAACAAACCTAGTATGGAAACACACGTTTCTATACTAGGCGATCGTCCTTGTGTATTACTTCGTTTTAAGGAAAATATCATGTTTATAATAAAATCTCTATAAATAATATAGATATATATACGTTCTCTTTGTTCTAAATTGTGAATGAAATATTTCCAAGATTTTAATTTCAAGTTAAGAATAATAACTAATGTTGAATAAATTTCTATATTTGCTCTTTTTTTTATAATACAAAGTGTTATTTCCAACTGTCTCTTCTTTCTTTTTATTCTTTTTTTTTAATTTATCAATGATTGTCATCTTCTAAGTTAGATTCTTTTTTTCCTTCTTTTAAAGTAGTTCCGCTTTAGTTCTCTCTATCTTTTTTTCAAGATAAACAAGCCCAATAGTTATTTTTTTATTTTTTCTTCTTTCAATTTGTGTTTCTTTCAATGTCAATGGTATGTGTGTTTAAGCAAAGAAAATCTAATTTTTATTCTTTTTCTTTCACTACTTGATGAAATATATAAAATATCATTCTCGCACTTGTTCATTCTTTCTATTTGTTTTATTCTATTCATAGAATGTGTTAAAACATAGTTTATCATTTATATGTGTTTTACAATAGTGAAAAGAAAAAAAAAAAAGAAAAGAAATTAAATATTATAGTCAACATTTATTTTAAATAATTGAGCTTTTTTTTATAATAATTTATTCAAATAGATAGTCTTTTTATTTCTTGTGATCACAATTGTTAGCACTGTTTATAGATCGTTGGTATGATAGTATTTGTGATTGATTCATATGGTTGATCGATAGAAAAGAAAAACATTGATTTTAACATTATGATTGCTTATTTTTTTTAAATTCATGAGAGATTTTTTTTTATTTATGTTTGATACAAGTATTTGTCATAATTTCGATTAAAATATCTAGAGTAAAAAAAAAAGGTGAAGCTCAAGTGGATGTATCTGTGGTATTTAGATTAGAGTTTGTTCGACTGGTTCCGAACGGATTCGGGTCCGAAAATTTGGAATCGGATGGACTCTAATTTCAAAGATTAAAATAGTAAGAGAGATATAGAATTCAATTCTATTTTATAGTTGATCAGCTTCTTCTGCTGTTATGCTGTTGTCTTTTGTTTTATCTTAAAAAAAAAAAATTGATACATTGCTAGTCGTTGAGAAATAGTTAATAAATGACAAAAAATCTTCGAAGTAACTTAACAACAACAGGCACTCTTTTGATTAAGACAATATAAAGAAGCAAAGCTTTCGACGTCAACAAAACGTCATCATTAGTGTGAGTGTGAATGTGAATATCGGATGAAAACATATCTTTACCGTACCCACAACTACGCCCTACATGAACCCACACCTACACCCTAGAAAATTACTATTAATGATTTAAAATTGAATATAAAAATTGTAAAAGAGAACTTTTCTTCATAGCAATATAGTTTAATATAATTTTACAACTAATTTTAAGTTTTACTTTTTCCTATTAAATACAGTCATCATCAGCACTAAAGATTTCACTGTAAGATGTGGGTGTTATAATGATATTGCCATTGTTCAAGTTTTCTCTGAGACTCACTTATTGTTGTCATTGAAGAATTAAATGTATGAATGTGACATATTAATTTAAAGTCACTCACTCATTCATTACTCAGAATTAATTGGTACTTGGATGTGTTTATGAGTTATTTGATAGACTAAAACCAATTCTTGTTGGTATAGTTTGATTTCTAAATGTTATTATTTATTTTGTAATAAATAGGAAACTAATGTCACAAGTGATATCCTAAGTATTGATGATGACCGTACTTACTTAAAAGGCGGAAAATTGTAAATTTCATGCAAAACTATAATAAACTGCATTATTATGATTAATTGTTCCTTATTACATTGCTATTATTTTAGTTTTTTTTTTCAAATCTTTCTTCATTATGTCTGTTCTTGTAATTAGATGAATCAAAATTACATCTGTTAGAACTTTAAAGTGCAAATAAAGATTTGATTTCTCTAATTCTTTAATTTTATTCAATTGGAAAACGCAAAAAATATTTCTTTGAACAATTCCATTTGATTTATTATATGATTAAACAGAAGCAATTTTATTGTATATATAATAATAGTTAAACAAAAACAAAAGCTCAAAACTTGTATTAATACAAAAAGAAAAAAAATCGAGATTCTGTTGATAATATTTATTCTTTTTTTTTCTTTTTGTCATTGTCAATGTCTTTATTTTGTTCTGGACGTATTTTTTTCACTCGTTTAATACAAATTTTTAATAAAACTATTGATTCGTAGAGCCAAATTGCCTAAAAAATATTCACAAGTAAAATTTGGATAAGAAAGAAAAAACAGACTTATTTTTTTTTACTTACCACCAGAATACAACAATTAATAATAACAGGTAAAGATAAAACTGTTGATATAAACATACCTCGACTATCAAAATATTGATCGCCAGCAAATAGTCTACAAACAAATCCAAACTATTAATCTAACTAATATTTTCTTCAGTTACTTACTGCCATTTTTCAGCAGCTAATTTATTAATATATTCTGCACAATAGATGCATGAAACTAAAATCTAAAGTTATATTTCATTATAGAAACTATTTATACATACGAAGACCAAGAAAAATAAATATTTGAATATTTAAATGCCCACGTGTTAAAATAATAATTAATAAACAAATTACATGAAAACCACATAAAGCAATTAACCATGGTTCATGCCAATTGATCTTAAGATTTAAAAGCAATAGTCAAAATACTTCCTATTAATTTCTTTTTTTTTTGTTTCGAAACTTAATCAAATCTTACCATCTGAAGAAACTGCCAATAACTAGTAATTGATGTTGTTTCAATAAAAGATTCATGCATTCTTTTTCTTTTAATTGTCTTCAAAAATGAGAAAAAAAAAAAACTTTCAAAATTAGGTTTCTAGATGTCTATGCATTTTTTTTTAAAGTGTTTTATTTAAATATAAATCAACGAGAGATAACAATTCAAAAGAATTACACCAAAAGTACAGCGTTAATGCATCCATCATTTTCTGGATGATTAGTTACTTGTGCATACTTTCCCCATACAACTTTACCACCTTGTGTAACCATACCAAGTTCACTAACGTTGACCTAATTTTAACAAAATAAAAATAAGAAATTTTATGTTTTATTTTTATTAGTAACTAACTTCAAGAACTGTTCCTTTGGTAATAACACCTAAGGATGTGTAAAGTGGTGAACTTGGATTCTTCTTGACACCAATAATAGGTAATTGAAATGTTGCTTTCAATTCTGGATGTGTAACGTGTGCTTTGGTAAATCGAAGTGCCTAAAAAAAAATGATGTTTAATCATGCGTTATATCATAAATATTAATGTAATCAATTTCATGTTAGCTTCGTCTATACCGAAAGGAAATATAAAAGCAATTGCTGAAGTATTTGATAACTTTCAAGATCATTTAGTATTAATATATTCCATGTCAGGAAAAAGATTATTCGCGTAACAGCTGCTGATAATAAGATTTATGCATGCGTAGAACATTTTACAATACTGGTCATAAATATACGACTAATATACTTTTGATTTCTTTTTGTTACGATATCGAGTATTTAACTCAAATTAAATAGTGGATTGAATAACCAATGAAGTTCTCTATCAAATCTATTTCATATCTATATTTCATTCATAGACTATGACAGGAAAGTTTTTGAAAAATTACACACGATAGTTATCAGCTCCTAGACTTTCGTGTGAAAACTAACTCTTAGGAATACTATCTTAAATGGTAAACTATCCTTAAGAACATAAGAAGATGCTGCCTGTCATACAATCTTCTCTCAAAATGTTATAAGTGTCATAGAAAATTACAACAATGCCTTTTTTTGCAATCTCATGATAAAATTGCTTTTTTCCCATTCTTTGTGATGCTCATAACTTTTTAGAAAATGCCGTAGAATTTTCAGCAAAACTCTCTACTAACGGCAAAAATTCTTCGAATCGTATCAATGATGGATATTTTCATGGGTAATCAAACAAAAAAGACACTAGATTCTTAGAAAGTTTTTCATCTGTGGAGCTTGTTGCGCTGATTATTTTGATAAAAAATATTCAAATTTACCTCAATAACTCATGGTGCTAGAACCGAAATATTCAAAAATTTCCACTATTCCTGAATGCTGCTGAGCGATAATTGACGTTCTCAAATATTTCATCTTTAGAGCCATGATTTATTGAGTAAATTTAAATATTTTTTTTTAAACAAAATGAGTTCTACAAAGTTGTACAGATGAAATAAAGCTTTTGAGAACCTTGTATTTTTTACGGTTGACTACTCATGTAGAGAATCAATATTCTGAAGATATATAAATTTCTTTTTATTTTACCATTGGTCGAATGAATCGTTCAAATTTTGGTGGTTTTCGTGTAAATCCTTCACCAACAAAACAAGGTTTTGTTACCAAACGTTTCCATGCTTTCTCTATATAGACAAGAATTTTTTTTTTTGAGATTCAATTTTTATCATTAAATTTCATACTTCGTCGTTTTCCTGATTGAACTACACGAAAAACTTCAGCTTCACTAACTGCTTTTACTTTTGGTATTGGTACATCCCATTTACCCTATAAAAAAAAAAAACAGAAACGAAAATTTATATTTTTCAATGGAAAAATGAATTTCTAAAAAAGAAAAAAACAATTTATACCGCTTTTTCTTTTCGTTTTTGTTTAATTGTATTTGATAAAACTTTAGCTCGACTTTGTTTTTCACGGTCAAGTAAATAAGCAGGTAAAGCACCTTCAGGTACTTCTTGTCGTTGTTTAGTTTCTTTTTCTTCATGACTTTTGATGGTTTTTTTCATTTGAATTTTTTCATTTTGACGACGTTTATTATATAATTTAGCTCTAAATTAAATTAAATCAATTAAAAATCAATCGAATTTTTTAATTGAAAAATTTTCTTTTTTCTTTACTTAATGCCACGTAAGGTTTGA